GACTGATAAAGGACATGTATCGCAAAAACTTCACTATATGTAAGGAATTATATATCATTTTGGAATTTATTCGAAATAACGATTTGTTTAGAAAAAATGGAATTTATACTAAATCTGTTTTTTTTTCATTTGCTCAATCAAAGCTTCTAAAAGACATTTTTTTTAATCATTAATACTGATTACATGATCTACCATAATTTGCATATCGAATTTGTATGAAAATAAAATTTCCGGTTTAGGATCAAAATCCTATTCCAACAGGAAAATATTAGTCTGTTAATATTAATTAGTGTCTTTAGTCTCGCCTATTTTAATTGATAATAAATTGATTCTGTCAATGTTTTAGGTTAAGCTGAAAAAGCATAGTAGTAAGAAATTGTTATAGGGTGTACATAAAGTCCGTTCACAATTTCAATTTTGTTATGAAGTCAGTTCTCAATATATCTTAACCAGGTTTGTTGATTTTTAATCAGTAATTGTTTAAGTATTTTCTTACTTCATTTAATACATGTGTGAGGGCCAAAACAATATATGGTATAGATGAATTCTCTTTGCAATTTTGAAAAATGTTAGGAGTTTAAGAACACTTTATATATAGGATAGTGTAGCACAAATAAAGGGTATTATATTAGAGAAGTTATGTTGAATAATGCTCCAGACAAATGGTTTTCAAAAAGTTGGGCGCGCCCCATAAAAGGGGGGCTAGACAATCTTTTGAGGAGGCGTGAAGCTAATTACAAATAGAATATTTGTTAGATTTGATCTCGCTCGCCTTATTTTGGATGTTTTTTGAATAAAACATACTTTCACTTTACTATCTGTTATTTGTAGCTTTTTGTCAGCTAGTTATTTTCGATTGGGGCGTGAGACTTGACAAATCCTAAAAAAGGGGGTGTGGCTTGAAAAGTTTGAGAACCACCGCTCTAGACAACCATGAGACTATTCAGGAATACTCTGTATTGTTATGTTAAACTATTTTTTGACATAGAACTGATACTGAAAAAGGAAAACTGCATCCAAATAAAAAATTCCAAATTGAAATTGGATTTCAAATTTGTGTAGAACTGCATGCTAAACACCATTGAAGGTTACTTATTGGATTAATTGAAACATTTAAAATTAAAAATTCTCACTCTGTTATCCAATTAGTACTTACAAATAATCAAGGAATAGCAAATAAAGCTTGTTACAACAGTTTTACTATTTTTTTGTTCAATTTCCTATAAATCGTTATTCAAAGCCAATTATGGTTAAAATTAGAAATACTGTAGTGTGTGTATCAGATTAGAGTTAGGCCATAATTTTAATCCAATTTTCCTTATTTTAGTTCTATTATGAGTTCGGGAACTGTCTGTGGTTAGCCAAGTGAAAAGTATTTGAAATGAACGGCAACTTAGATATTTGTTCGTGATATAGTTGATTTGTATGATTCAGAATTTTTTTTGCAAAAATTTAAAATTTCCATGTTGGAAAAATTAGTCAACTAAGACCCACTTATACGTAGGAAATTGTGAAAATATTTTAAAGTAACTGTACTTTAAAATAACTTTCAGTTGCAAATTTTGCATTCAGATTAATTAAAACCCTTTGATTTGAGATGCCTATTTTTATCTCTACTTTAAATTCTCCCAGGTATGGTTGCCCATGGTTGTTCTATCACATCTTAACCAAGGCCCATACTTGAGGGGTAGATAAATTGATAAAAATCGTTTTTTACAAAGCACAGGTCTGATTATCTACACTTGTTTCTTAGTAATTGAATCAATATTAATTTGTTGGAAAGAATCAATTACTTGCCTCATTACAAGGAGGGAATTTAAACTATACAATCTTACAAGCCTTGTAATCTGGTACATTTAGTTAAATGTCAGAGTGAAAAGATTGTTGCCATGAGAAATAGTACCAAAACAACAGTAGTGTCAAAGATAATTTAAAAAAAAAGAATAATTTAGCCAGAAAATTTAAAACAAGCATGCTTCATAGTATATGATACTGTATTAGGTTTAGTTGTCAACTTGAAAAATTACAAAGAGGGAATTCACACTATACTTTGGAAAACGAGCCTAGTGTAATGTATGAGACGATACATTTGTTCGCTTATTTTACATCGAGTTGCATGAAGGGACTGACCCCTATGGGCAGGGAGATATTTATTCACTTTACCAACACAGACAGTCCCGAACTCAGCATAGAAGTAGAATAAGGAAAATCAGAATAAAATTATGCCCTAACCCTAACCTGGTATACACACTACGGGAGTACCGACTAATCTCTGCGGAGTTACAAGCAACCACTAAAAGCAGAAAAGTTTTTGTTAACTTTTAAAGAATGCAACAAAACTTGAGAACTTTTAAAGTAGAATTGCAGCTAGTGAAATTTATTCTGAAGTTTTTCAATTTTTTTGCAAAAATAATAAACAGGGTGTCCATAAAGTCCGTTTACAATTTTAATTATGTTATGAAATCCGTTCTCAATATATCTTAAGCAGGTTTGTTGTTTTTTAATCAGTAATTGTTCAAGTGTTTTTATTTCATTTGATAGATCTGAGAGGGCCGAAAAAAATTATGGCATCAATAAATTTCCTTCGCAATTTTAAACAATTTTTGAGACTTTATGAATACCCTATATTATCCATTCTGATTAGAATAGAGGAAAAATAATTTCAGTATTTAAAATTTAAATTAAGCACAAAGCAATTATTATGAATCAAATTCAAAGACATATTGGAATAAATGGGTTTTAATAATGTAAAAATGAAATATTTTTCATTCAGATTAAAGAATTCATAATTTTCAATCAACTCGACACCATCAATGTGTATTTTGAATGCTTCCATTCAGTTAATCTTATAAGGATTGAATTCCAATTGAATTAAAAGAGTTTTTCTGTTTTGTTGAAGCTCAAAATCAATGTCTTCGGCAACATAAGCCTGTTTTTCGTGCTAATGTACTTAGCGGCTTCATTTTACTTTTAGAGATGGTTATGTGGTCAATTTAAACACTGCTGGGAGTGCTGTATCAGTATAAATAGTAGAGGTTGTATGTTGTCTTTATTTTGGGCTTAGATACAGGATAGATTGGGATTCACTGTCTTTGGCAACTTAAGCCTGTTTTTCATGTTAATGTACCCAAAGGCTTTACCTTTTAGAAATAGTTATGGTCAATTTAAATACCGGTACTGATGAGAGTGCTACAGAGTAAAAAATGAATTTTATATTTAAGTTATTTCAGATATGATCAACATAAAGATAAATTGATTTATGTAATTTTCCACATGAACTTGCCCCGAATTAAGAATGTATTCGATATTCCATATTCAAAAATATTCGGTTTTGGGCACTTCAGAATTGTGTTTATCCATACGGAAGTAACTAATTTTGTTCGCCTACTTTACAACAAGTTGTGTAAAGGGATGAACGCCTATGGACAGGGGGTATATTAACTTCGCTAACAACGACAGTCCCCAAACTAATGGAATTAAATAAGGAAAATCGGGATAAAATTATGGCCTAACCCTAACCTGGTACACATACTACAGGGGTACCCAGTTTTGGGCATCCCTGCCTAAGCAGATATAAAACTTTTGAAAGTGACCAAGTCATAGTATCTGTGATAGAAGCTAACAATGATACAGTTACCAAAACAAAATCCCAACAAAATTCCTCAAAAACACCTTTGAAGATTCCATATCAGAACATAAATGGCCAAGCATATCCCAAACTATAAGATTATATTCCCATACAAGCAAACCAATAAGGCCCTCTCAACCCTTGAGAAAAATAATAGGACAACTTTCAACTAAACTATAAGATAATATTCCCAATACAAGCATACTCAAATAAACGAGACGTAAAAGGGGCCCTCTTAACTTACGAGAAAAATAATAGTACAACTTACCAAGAACAACAATATCTATACTCAACTTATATGGGTACTTGAACCAGGACGCAAATACTTAGTCGAATTGGTGAAGGAGTATTAGGGTGTCATAAGCTATATGTAAGTTTTCTTTAGTCATATAAGGGAGGGTGCTTGAACGCAGAGGTAGTTTAATTTTAGGTCAGCGACTATTGTTGTGTTTTGAGGCCATTTTAGTTTCTGAACTTTAATAATGTTGTGTATTAAAATTCGATATTAGATTATAAAGATATATATATACTTTTTGTGGGGCTCTAGAAGTGTGTGTACTAATATGGAGGTAACTAGTTTTGTTCGCCTAATTTACATCTAGTTGTGTAAAGGGACTGAAACCTATGCGCAAGGGGTATATTCACTTGGCTAACACAGACAGTCACCGAACTCGTAATAGAACTAAAATAAGGAAAATCGGAATAAAATTAGCACCTAGCTCTCACCTGGTACACACACTACGAGAGTACCCTTTTTGTTAGGTGTTTCAACAAATTCACTAATAACAAGGCTCTCAAAGTGCAGCAACTTACATATTTGAGACTTCAATTCTATAGAGAACTAATTTCTCTAAATTAATTTGGGCAAATTACAGCCAGTGGCCGGAGTGTGTCATCCGATCCACTTTTGTCAGCTGGAATTATGACTATAGTTTTTATGAATAGAAATTTCCGTTGAAAATATCAATGAAAATAACGTCATAATGACCCTGATTGTTACATTATGCTTCTTATTATTATATAAACGTTAGCCTAGCTGTTTAACTAGTTTCATAAATGAACTGTTTTCATTCATAGTTTCATATTGAGTTTAGAGCCTCAAGCCCAGCCACCAAGTCTATTATCTGTGACTGGCCCACTCAGGAATTGCCCATCCCTGCTCTATATCTTCAATTTATAAGAGCATACTGGGTGAGATTAAAAAGATCTCGAACTTCGTCCAGTTTCCCTCAATTGTACCAAATACATTTATTTCTATTGTAGTTAATATGTATGACTAGTTGAGAGAAAATTACGAATGAACAATGCTACATTTGCCAAATTCTCTAACCATAAAGAACTCGCACTTATCTATTTCTATTCTATTTCACAGGTAGCAGGTCAAGCCTTAGATCACCAAAGATTAAATCTTCATCTCGATCTGGAAGTAAACGATTACATTTTCCATCAGTTTTCCGATCTAGCAAGCAGACGTCATCCAGTCCTGTTGCTTCAAAATCAGACTCTTTAAAAGAAAATTCAAAGCGAGGAGGAGGCAAAAACAAGCGGCCAAAAAGTTTTTACGAAGAAGAGAAAAAATCATCCCCTTTGATCAGTAAAAATTCCACGAATTTAAAAACAAAAGAAGAAACTGAGCTTGCAAAAATAAGAGACAAAACTTTAGCGGAAAAAGTGCTACAATCGGTTAAACAGAAACACACTCCGAGTAAAACAAAAACTGCTTCTAAATCACAGCACTCAACTCCACAGCATGTCCTTTACACCACGTTTGAAGATAATTCCTTAAAGTCACTTCTGCAAGATAACGAAAGCATAACTGTGGTACCTTGGAAGACTAGCAAGGGTATTCCCGCATCTCCAGGGAGGAGTATTACAAAAGTGTCTTATTGCAACTCGTGTGGCCATGTTGACGAGAAAAACGAGACTAAACTTACAACTGACAAGACCATTGTAGTTGAAAAACGTGAAAAAATACAAGAAGAAAATACTTCTAGTAAACAAACGAACAATAAAGTAAATAGGCTTAGTTTTAAAGCGAATAAAAGCAAAGCCAAGAACAACACAAAAACTGGTCAACGACCAAAAAGTAGCGACAGCCTTGAGCCTCAAAAAAGGGCGGTGTTATCGCCACAAACTTTCAAACGACGCCCACTATTTCGATCTTTTAGTGACCCATCTGCATCTCCGAGAAAAGACACAAAACCCAGAGTGTTATATCAACAAAAACAACAAGTAAAACAAGCAACAATCACACAGACTCAATCATTTTACAGAATAGGTATCCGTCGAAGACATACTGACAGCGATTTAGACAATTCAAACAGTCTTGCGGACAAAGAAATCGCTTTGTGGAACGACCAAATCAAAAACAGTGCATCAGTATTTGCTGACTCATCAATTCCAGCTCCAAAATCAAGTGACTCACATCTTTCAACAAGCGCTAAAAATATGATGCCCAAGGTAAAAAACGGGGGTGTGGGAGACATTTACCCCCTTTTAAAAACTAAAATTCCGGAGGAATATACACAAGAGGATGGGAGCGTAACATATCGCAAAGGGGTAGCGGAGGGTGTTCAAAAAATTGAAGCCGATCGGGACTCTGGGGTTGATGTTGACAACAAAGCATTGTGTCAAAACAATTCAACTGATGAAAATGAAGACTATGACATAGACAATGAAACAATGACAACCCCAGATAGTGCTCTCGAGTCATCTTCAGTGCAAGATGATTCAGAATTTGACTTTAGCACTTTAAAGCGACCAACCAAGCATGCAACAATGCCCAAACTGTCCTCAACCAATCAGGAGAAAGATGAAAATATTAAAGAGGAAGATGATGAAGGTGACAGTGACACTTTGAAAAAGGGATTTACAATATCTATAAGAGGTGGGGAAATTTAAATTTTTTTAATGCATCTGTCAGTTGCTTTTTTAATGCATCTGTCAAGCAACTGAAAATGATATCATATTTTTATGATTGATTGGCATAGCATATTCCTAAATACTGCTCCCTTATATCTGCATTTGTGTTAGTGACTTTTTCTTGAAAAAATTTAGATTATTCAGAATTGAATCAAACTGCAGTCATGCAGTTTTAGACTGATTCCGATAATAAATTACGAAATAGAGATACCATGAGTCATGAAAACGTGATCTGTACTTGAAAACCTAAACTGGCCAATAATCAACATTGACCAGAACAGCCTATCAATGTATAGATAAAAATAAGCATGAGTATTCAAATAAAATAGGTTTGAATCTCCTGGACTCTGTGTGTGTATCTATAGGGTGTCCATGAAATCTTAAAATTTTTTGAAATTGCAAAGGGAATTTATCGATACCATGTATTGCTTTGGCCCCACAGATAAATGAATTAAAAAGAATTGAACAATTACTGATTAAAAAACAACAAACCTAGTTAAGATATATTGAGAACTGACTTCATAACAAATTTGAAATTGTAAAGGGACTTTATAGATACCCTTGTATGTTTATTTGTTTCAATAAATAACAAAGTCTGTAAGTAAAGTACCAGTAATTAGAAACTACAAGAAAATGCACTCAGACAAGGTCATCTACTTGTTTATTTTGAAATTGAAAATTTGAAAGCTATGACAACACAAGCAATACCAAGAAATGTTTCAATCACATATCAACAACCAATCAAATGGTGTTTTCCTAATTTGAATTAGCCGCAGAAATCTTATTGGTTGTTCAATTGAGCTTATCTCTCACATGGTATGAAAATAGTGTTCCCAATTACAATAAATTTTAAAAAATTTCGGAATTCCCGTAGTGTGCGTACCAGGTTAGGGTTAGGCAACAATTTTATTCCAATTTTCCTTATCTTAGTTTTAATTCGAGTTCAGATACTGTCTGTGTTAGCCAAATGAATATACGCCTGCCCATAGGTTTCAGTCCCTTTACACAACTTGATTTAAAGTGGGCGAACAAAATTAGTTCCCTCCATATTGATACACACACTTCTGAAGTGCTCAGAAAAGATTATTAACTATAATAAGAATCATAAATTATTGTACATGTTGTTGAAACACCATCAATCCTTACAAATTTGAAATTAATTTATTGTGAAAGGGAACACTGCCAGCCACTAATTTCCTCATTTAACAATGTATGAATCTGATGGCTGTAATATCCTGACCAATTTCCTTGCAAAGAAATGATGAAATTGCTAGAAGTTAGGTCATTATTACACTAGATTTATCCCTGGCCTGTAGAGATCATATTATATTTGAGTTATCTCAGATTGCTATACAAAATGAATGAACTGGATGGAGGTTGGATTACAGTGATCAGTAATTTATTTTTTCACCATGCTGAAAATACGCACTATATACATACACAAATCAAAAGAAATATGAAAAAATCTCTTTTAAAGATGAAAGAAAACGCCGAAAACAAATACTGGTTTTAAAGCTTCGGCACTCTTGAAAATCGCTCTGTATTCGACAAGTTAGGAATTTGTAATAAATAAGAGGCGTATTTTTCATTTGAATTTTCCACATAACTTCATATTTTTGTAGATTGTTTCAGAATTTTGGGCGAATTCAAACAAAATTTCCCAGACACTAAAAGTTTCTGGTCGGACAAATTGCCATACCAGTACAAACATGTCCAATCTTTATATGTTTTGTTTTATACAAATTATTAATAACCCCCTTCTACCCGCCCCCCCCCCCCCCAAATAAAGTAAATGGAATTCTGTTTTTATTTGTAACCATAACAACATTCCGAATTTCAACCCCTAGATGGCAGTAAGAATACGATATTTTCAAGGAATTGTCATACAAGATCAATGCACAATCACGTAATAATAAATAGTTTTGCAGAAACGCACCTCGACACGATATAATCACGTTGGTAAAATTTAAACACAGGAATTAAGTCACGTTTCGGTATAGGGCACGAATATCAATTCTATTGATTAACTCGTTGGTTTCCTGGAAGTTTTATTGTTCACTTCCATGTTACGTCAATAGAAGAATTAAAACTAATCAGCACAAAATAGTAACGAGCATCCAGACCTTTTTTCTATCGTAGGCCACTTTGCACAAAAAATTTTGTGGCCTATTAACTTTCTCATGCATAGTAAAAACTCGGGTTGTGTACCAGGTAAGGAAAAACTTACAAAAAAAACAAATTTTATTTCACCTAAAATTAAGATCACATTGGAAATGTTTGATATGCATTGCAAAATAGAATTCCTTTTTCCCATATAACAAAAAAAACGTTTTTTCACTATATTATAATAGTTTCACACAGACACACACATATACATTTTTATCCAGTTTCAGTTGGCGTTATTCCTATCCAAAAATGTATCGCAATAATTTTGAAATTATTGCAACTCATAACAATACAAAATTTTCGGTTTCGTTGAAGTTTTTTTGCCATGCAGAAAAATTCTAATTATCATAATTACAAATACGGTACAAGATATTAAAAACTGACATCAAGCCAATTGTCGAAACTGCACGTATTCTACATCATCTATCAATCATATAATACATAAACATAATTTGGACACATACAGAGGGTCAATACTGTATTCATGGAAGCGGTGCTAGATTTCGTGCGGTAGTTTCCAAATGTGACAAATTCATTCATTTTAGAAAGGAAGCATGATAGTATTGTTGCAAATGTGTAACTGTGCTGCAAAAACTTTGTGTGCAGTAATAGGACTGGAGATTATCTTGGGATAAGAGGTCTTTATGTAAAATTAACACAGTTAAATTTGGTAGTAAGAAGGGCTTATATTTTTGGAAAATGTCTAGAGTAGCAACAATTGAATCATAGCTTTAGAACAGACATGGGCAACGTATGGCCAGGGGCCAAATCCGTCCTGTTGGGGAATTCAATCTGGCCTGCTTGATGCTGCCACAACCAACCTGAAATCAAATTTTGATGTTTTAGCTAAAAATAGCCCAAATTTGTTCAGATTGTTGTTAAATTTAGTTTTGGCACGAGGCATATTGTTTTCCACCTTTGCTTTGTCACACTGTAAATATTGTTCCTAAAAATGTAACTATTTATGTCACACATACCTGGCCCGCCAGGCTAGGTGGGCTAAATTTTGGGCCCCTGGTTCCCCCTGAATGATCTATTACTTTAATACGTTTTCATGCAATGTTTACTATTTGAATTGGTATTTCCATATTACAAAAAAGTATCTAGAAACTTGGAAAATAACTTAACTCAGAAAACTAATTTTTTAAATTTGAAATGTAATATTTAGCAGGAAAGATATATTTTAAAAAAGGTAAAAAGTCAAAAATTTTCAAAAACGTTTCTGTTATACTGTATTATAAATCATGATTTGTTGATGATGAATCATTTCAAATTTGATAATTAATAATGATGTGATAAAAAGTGCAATGGCATAAGAATACTGTAAATTATGAGATTTACATTATATTTTAATTCTCATTTCAAATTAATACAGTGTTCCCATACAAAAGAATGAAGTTAGAAATAACTAACATTTATTTAGTTGAGGGAATCAAGTTTAAACTAAATTTAAAAAGGAATTTTACATAGAAGGATAATTTATGAGATTACGAAAAAGTTAAATAATCTGCAAAAACTTTTACGTCATATTATTCTATAAATCATGATATGTTGATGAATTGTTTTAAATTTTGTGATTAATAATGACATCATGTCATAAAGTAACTTATTTTTCAAGAATTACAGTGAATTTTGAGATCATAATTGTCATATTGCAATAAAAAAAAATTATTTTGTGAACTGATGACCAAAATTTGATGAGGTAATATTTTCATGACTCGTTGAAATTTGTGAATTTCAAGGTATTTTCTGCAAAGTAAAAAATTTAGAATTTAAAAAAAAAATTTCTTGTAAGCTCGACTTACTAAACTATATGAACAGCATATACTGGGAAATAGGAAATTTCCATCGGGAATAGAAAAAGGAAACTCCTATATTTACCATTCTCTCAGAAATCGGCCATTGGTACACCATGCTACTCAGATATAGACCATACCTAATACGAGTTAAGACCAGTTTTGACCAGTTTATTCCACGAAATAATTTCTATTTGAAACATTACACATGACAGACTAATACGTCTGCATTCCAAAATTAGAATATACACCGATACGCAACAAAATTATCGTTATTGTTACATTGAGAATCATTTCGATACAAAACATGACATATTGACTAGTAATTATCGCACATTGTGCATGATTTTGGAAAATACCTCATTGATCGAGATATTTGGATAATTGTATTTATTATAGAATAGATATTTTCGATGAAACTAAATGCCAGTCTAATAATTACGAAACTCAGGGTTTATACAGGTGTACATCGATAGGATTTCTCAGTTAAAAAAAATCGTTGCCTGTGAGCCTGTTGAAATAAAACTGCAATAGTATTGTGCTGAACAGCTAAGATTCGTATTTCTGAAAACTAAAGGTACAAAGCTGTTTATATAGTACAGGGTGTCCATAAAGTTCCTTTACAATTTCAAATTTGTTATGAAGTCAGTTCTCAATATATATTAATCAGGTTTGTTATTTTTAATCAGTAATTGTTCAAGTATTTTTACTTCATTTAATACATCTGTGAGCCTCAAAACAATATATGGTATCGATGAATTCCCTTTGCAATTTTGAAAGATTTCAAGATTTTATGGACACCCTATATATAATATATATTTAGATTTAAAAAAGGTCTGTTGAGGAAAATTAGTGTATTACATACAAAAGCAGTAATTATCAAGGAATATTGAGTTAGTTTCATATCACTGAAAATTCAAGAATAAAAATACTTATACCTACATACGTTCCCCTGAAAAAAAAAACATTTTTCGTTAAAGATTACAGAAGAAAGATACCACTAGAATTTGGCACAGAGATGGCCCAAACTGATAAAGATGTCTAAGTTTAAGTAGTAAAGGTTTTGTCCCTTAGCCTACCAGTCACTTACAGAAAAGAAACGATTTTATCTGTCAAAATTTCTTTCAACTAACTGAAATATTTGGATTCCTGTTAATCAAAATTTGACCAAATGTTCAATTATTCATAACACAAAACTTGACATTTTAAGTGAATATTATCAAGAAACAGATAGAATTCTGCGCAGTAGTACATATACAGAGCTTTGTTAAAAGCAAAAAAAATGTTATAAAAATGTTGTACTGCAATCTCTGGTTGAGAAAGTTCATTAATTAATTTATCCTAGTATTTGTTCGCTTTGTTCTGTTGCGTTATGATTATTTTGTCAAGCAGTACAAATTGTTCTTGAAACCTGCTTACCAAGCATTAGGAAATAATACTCCAGCATTGTATTTGTACTTTACATTTGCTGACATGAATCAGGGGGATCTTGTTTAGGAGAAAAGTTTTAGTAAGAGCTGGAATACGTATAGGTTTTCTTGTAAAAATAAGCAATACAATATAAGATTTGAATTTATTGCCTAGTGTAATAAGGCATCCCTTAAATCGGACTTGTGCGCAAACAATGACAATTAGTTCGTTCGCTTCCCTTACGATACTGGTCAACGATTTGCCAAACAGGCACCTTGAACTATGTCATATTTTATTGGTGGTTAGAGACGATTAATAAATCAAAACGGGTAATGAAGTTTTTGCGTTTTACCTGGTCCTGATTCCTCTCAACGTAATAAATGTTATGGACTAATTAACGGCGGTATATTAAGTGAACAAAGTTCAGGGACTTGGAATTAGAAACTGATTAACAAGATTTATGGACTTGGCTATAAGTTGTCGAAGTTAGTTTTGAGGAAAACACGTTTTCCTTTTTGGAAAGAATTGTGAAAGCAACAAACTTTGGCTACATCTAAAAAATTAAGAGAATTAAATTAAATTTTATTGAGGATTCAGTTTAAAATTGATTTACCTGGGTATAAAAATATATTCAAAATATATACAATAAGGATTGACCAATGAGCATGTATGAGCAGAAATAATGTAGCAGGCAATTTTGACATGTTTCTTTCAAACTCTTGACATTTTGGACAACAATTTAAATGTGCTTTTTCTTTTTAATAGATAACGGCAAGTGGGATATGTACGCATTACTACGTCGCTTCGAAAGCGTGGAATGGGAGTTAAGTCCGGCGGAAAACATGAAACGACAAACATTAGATTTAGATAATTGTAACCTGGACTGTGTACCGGCTGCTGTGACAGAGATTGAGTATTACGCATTCAGAGGTGAGTGATGGGTTAGTTTTCATTTTTAAAAATAGTTTCTAATCTCTAGATAGGTTTGATATATTGTTCCGGTCAGCATTTAGAAGGTTAGGTATAAGAATGTATATATGGCCCCAGAATCCATTTGAATGACCTTCTCAGTATAAAGCTATTAGGCCGCCATACAGTAAGTTGAGAATAGCGATGGACATATAGTCCCAATTGGGTGCTCCCGAATGCAAACCAAGATGGCGGACATCGGAACGTAACATGGGTAACAGGTTAGGGTTAGGCGATAATTTTTTTCCAATTTTCCTTATTTTAGTCCTATCATCAGTTCGAAGACTAGCCAAGAGCCTCCCGTAGTATTTATACCTGAAATTATGGCCTAACCCTAACCTAGTACACATATTACATTCCGATGTCCGCCATCTTGGTTCGCATACTTCGGGAGCCCCCCAATTATCATTCGAATTGCCTCCGCAGTAGATGTCTGATGGGTTGACAAAAAAAAATTTCTGTTTTTAAGACAGCTACACAAGTGATATTCATGAACGTGTAACGTCGATCAAGTACATTATTTTATATCACGCAATATCATTTTGACCCGTGGTCTTCCATATTTTATTAAGTCGCCAGTCAAATTCAACAGAAATCATACTAAATTAATTTAAAATTATAATATCATATTTTAAATATATTAGAATATAATATAGTATTCGTATTCCATGGAGTTATATTTATGCTATTCTTCAAAGTTCTAATACTAAACCAAGCCCTACTTTCTACAGATGTTGAAGCTGTGAGTTTAAACCACAACAGCAAGATAGAGAATGCAGATGTGCTTGGCAAACTTGCTGATCTCCGGATAATCAACATGTGGGGATGCAATTTGAAAGCAATCCCACAAACATGGTCGAGACTATCAAAGCTGCAGGTAATTTTTATCTATATTTTATTAAGTAGGAGAGATGGCCTAGTGGTAACAAACCACTTTTTTATCAGTTCTTACAGGTCATGTCAGTAGAACTCACACTCGACATTCGCGTCATCAGTGAATGATCTAACCCAGTGGTTGGCAACCTTTTTTCAGTGATGGACCGGTAAAGCCTGACCAAAATTTTGGCGGACTACCTTTATACAAATTACAGACGAACTGATGTAATTTAATAAATTATATGCGCAAGAAAGTTATGTTGACAATACATTCTAAAACAAAGGTATAACGTGTTTCTTACGTTCGTCCTACTTAAATATTTCGTTTTTGTAGTTGTTAATTTTGAAAACCTGACTTTACATACTGGTAACAATGCTATTAGGGCATTGTACGTTTTTTGTGTCACCTTTCTGCGGACCGGTAGCAATCTTCCCGCGGACCGGCAATGGGCCGCGGCCCGGTGGTTGCCGACCACTGATCTAACCAACTGAGCAAACTGACCATATAATAAATCATGACACAGCGACACCCAGAATTAAATAAATATTAGGAAAACACTGAAAAACCTCAAATTGTTAAACAGCTTTTTACCATGATATATTGTGTTTTTATTGGAAATTTCACCTGTCTACCATGAACACGTTTAAGATCCCAAGTTATATATAAGGAAATATGCAGAAAAGCTCATTGTAACATGTCATAATTTACAAAATGAGGGCACAAACATAAAAATGCTGCGAAACCCCAAATTTCAAATATAATCTCAAAATAACTTCGCTGTAAAATTATCCTTGTTTATTTCAGATGCTGGGTCTTGGAAACAACAAAGAATTATCGAGCTTTGGTCCTTTGAAGCATTTAACAAATATTATATGGTTGGATCTGGGTGGATGCAATTTGAAAAAGATTCCTGATGTTGTGCTGAACATGATGAAATTAAAGTAAGTATCAACTTAATGTACTATAGTTGCGAATTACAAAAGGGATTTAATCACAAGTTAACTGATTTGAGTTAAACCTGCATAATGCACGAATAAATTGGTAAAAAAGGCCAGAAAGAATTGTCCGTCTGAAATAAGTGTTCCAGTGGTTTCCAACCTGTTTGACACATTCTTCACTTGGCTTATTAAGTTCCTAACTCCCTTACTATTTGTCATTCAATATTTAACATAACATTTACTCCTGATACGTGCAACTTGTACTCTGCCTTTGGTACATTTTGAACAGTTTTTAATATATGCAGATTCATCGGGAGAATTTCAAGTGTCTTTTTAAACATAAACTGTCGGATTAGAATTTAATGCTTGATGGAAAAAAATATGTGCTGAAAAGGGCCATACTGAATGACTTGGCGGGCCAGATCATGGCCCACCTGTTGCACACCTCTCCTGTACACTATATAACTAATCAGATATAAAATATTCAAACTACTGTCCCTATTGTCGTCTTTTCTTCTGACTAAAATGGAACTCTTGAAATCATTTTAAATTATTGTATTCCGTTGACTATATAAATAAATAGGGGCTCCCGAAGTATGCGCACCAAGATGGCGGACATCGGTATGTAATATGTGTACTAGGTTAGGGTTAGGCCATAATTTTAGGTATAAATACTACGGGAGGCTCTTGGCTAGTCTTCGAACTGATAATAGGACTAAAATAAGGAAAATTGGAAAAAAATTATCGCCTAACCCTAACCTGTTACCCATGTTACGTTCCGATGTCCGCCATCTTGGTTCGCATACTTCGGGAGCACCAATAATACATATCATTAACATAATCCACATTCTCTTTTCAGAGTCCTTGCTCTTGGTGGAAATCCAGGAATTGAAATCGGTGATGAAATCTGTAGTTTATGGGATTTAAAGAAACTAGGACTCAATGATTGTGAGCTTGAAGAAATACCAAAGTCTGTATTCAGTTTGATTAAGCTGACTCATCTGCATTTGGATAATAATTACATTTGGTGAGTTCTATTCTCATGAATTTTTCCGAGGTGGTATACACGTTGCTCTCAACAAGGCTCTAGCCCAGTGATTCCCAAACAGTGGGGCGTAGACAATTTTTCAGGGGCTGTGAAGCAAATTAAAAATATAAGAGTATTCGTTAGATACATTCTTGCCTGCCTTACTTCGAATATTTACATTTATTTCATTATTTACGTTCCATTCACATATTTCCAACAGGTTTGTTGGAAATAACATACTTTCACCTCACAATCTGTTATTTGTAGCTTATTGTTTGTTAGCTAGTTATTTTTAAGGGTGGGTGCGAGACTTGACAAATACTAAAAAGGGGGCGCCGCTTAAAAGTTTGAGTTCCACTGCTCTAGTCATTCATCTATTATGTTTTTAAAATATTTAAAATTAATACAGCTTGGCATATAGCTGGGTTCTTCACCCTGTGTCAAGATAGTGTCTAAGAGTATTTGCCAAAAGCAAGTCCACTCGCTCAAAGGTGAAAGAGACTAATCTCTGAGCAAAGATACCTACTGACATGACCATGGAAAAAATAAACATTTGTATATCTCTCAGGTCGCCACTAGTCAGTTCCAAAATCTTATGTCAATTGTCTGCCCATTTTTAATTAAAAATATGTTTCAAATTACCTATTTTTGATCAATTAGAACACAATTCACAAGTAATACAGGGTGTCCATAATGTCCCTTTACAATTTCAATTTTGTTATGAAGTTAGTTTTCAATATATCCTAACCAGGTTTGTTGTTTTTCAATCAGTAATTGTTCAAGTATTTTTACTCCTTTAATACATCTGTGAAGGCCAAAACAATATATGGTATTGATGAATTCCCTTTGCATTTTTAAAAAATTTTACGACTTCATGGCCCCGCTATATATTTAATGACTCGGTTTTTATAAATGTTCTCCATTTTTAGCCAAATCAATCAAGAAATTGTGCAACTGACGGACTTAGAAGAACTAACAGTTACTGGCAACCCTGGAATAACATTTCCAAAACTATTAAGTCAGTGCGACACAATACGCTGCATTATCGTGGACTCAGGAAAAGATTTGTCCCGCGTTTCTGGAACTTTAAAAAGCAGAATGCGACAAATGCCAACTGCTACAAGTCCTGTGAAGGAGCCAGCCCCGAAACCAAGGAACATGTCTTACTCTTGATGAAGAAAAGCGAAAGAACGATAAAGTAACACACTGTTAGCTCTGTGTATCAGATCTAAAGTACAGCGTAAGTTCAAAAAGATGAGCATCTGAGATATGCAACATCTGGGACGGAGGACCTCAAGGGGGGTGAAGTCCAATGAGTGTAAGAACTACTGAGCTAGGCATTTGAAAAAGATGAACCAACAAATTATATGAGATGACATTACTAGGCAGATGAGATTTTTATAATTCTTTTTAATAAAATTCTCTCTAACAGACATAGTTTGCAGACCCAACATGCCAAGTTATTTCTTTCAATTAACACGGTTTATTACCCAAAACTCAACAAACAAAGGCTTCCAATCTAGAGAAAGGGGTCTGATTAAGTAATGGTTACCGATACTTATATTTTGTGCAAAATCTCGAAGAAGTTTCAATCTTGGTCATTGGTGACCAAAAACCTCCATATTTGTTCAACATATTGTTTTATAATTTTTTTAACCACTGTGTTTATTACTGTTTTAAGTAATAATATCATTTTTGAAATTAAAATTGACAAAAGTTATTTTTTATGTTCAAAGTGAGTGAGCCAATCTACTGTCAGTGTACCAACCAGTCGAAAATTTGGAGTACTCCCGAAGTATGTGTTAAGGGTAGGGTTAGGCCCTAATTTAATTTAGATTTTCCTTATTTTAGTTCTATTATGAGTTCAGGGACTGTTTGTGTTAGCCAAGTGAACATACCCCCCGACTATAGATTTCAGTCCCTTTACACAACTTGATGTAAAATAGACATACAAAAACAGTTACCTCTATATTGGTCACACACTTCTGGAGAGCCTTATTTTATGTTCATAGTGAGTTCTCACAAGTTCACTGCCAGTACAAACAAGACAATAATTTGGCGCCACCATAGCGGGAGGTCCATCAAACTAGGCTAGGGTTAGGCCTTATTTTATTCCTATTTTCCTTTTTTTAGTTTTATTACAAGTTCGGGGACTGTATGTGTTATACAAGTGAATATACCTCCTGCCCATAGGCTTCAGTGCCTTTACACAACTTGATGTAAAGTGGGCGAACAAAATTAGTTGCCTCCATATTGGTACACACACTTCTGGAGCAACGATTTTATACAGTATGACTTATGACCTTGTCACACAGTTCACTGATATTGGTTGATTAATCAATTTATGGCGGAATTTGAATTACATCGAAGAAATTGTTTTGTTGCTTTCCTAACATGTTTTATGTTTAATATATAGTTTTATAATCAACTAGGTCACTTTTTCCTTGTTTCTAATAATACACATGTGCATTTTGGCAAACAATTCCCATGAAAATTAACAGTTCCTGCACATTATACGCATAGCTAATTATGCTCTCCAACGTTACCGGCATTTTATTTTTATATAAGCCTTCTCAAAAAGACTTTGTATTAACTGTATCACTAGATCGAGGCATCTCCAAAAAAATACAGTGGTGTTCATGCATTTAGGTATTTTTATAACACATTTGCTTTGAAGATACCATCCTCGCATATAAGTCGAGTCTGAAACTCAATAAAAAAGGGGCCGAACTAAGGGGTCACACTAAAAATTCGGATCATAATTTTTATAAATTTCACTGTTTCAGGGGGTCGACTTGTATGTGAGATCAGCTTATATGCAAGGATATATGGTATCTTAAAAGCAAATTTGTTAAATAGAATAATTTGGGTCGAAATAAATTGTAACAAATATTTTTTGTACTACTCAAACAATTTATATTAAAATTCAATGATCATATAGTTGAAATGTTTTTCCATAATTTTAAACAAATTTTTTATACACCTCAGAAAATGTATAATAACCTCAAATAAAAAAATAACTGATTTATTTTGGACCACATATTGTGCAAAATATAACTTTTTTTCTAGTTATGACACATTCTGACACACTTAAGCATCATTGAACATCATTGATTCCCATAAACCAGTGATTCCCGGCCTTTTATGGCACGTGGCCCTTTTCCAGAGGCTTTCAGCACTCATGCCCCCCCTGTTTATCATTCCAGTGGGTTGAAACCCCCTGTGGCATAACCTTATTCAGCAAGGAAATTAGGAAAAATGGGAGGTTTTCTTGTAAGTGAAAAGTAAAAAAAGTTTCGCGCCTGGCATTGTGGCCTCCTCGGTGTGCCACGAGTCCCTTTGGAACCACCGCTATATACAAATCCAGAAGCATCAGCAATTAGTAGTAGTAGTACATCGCCCGTCCCTCAGTCCCACTTGCCTATAATAACAGTTTGCATAAACAAAATAATCTTAAAATGCTGACTTAATTTGCTTCCACGTTTACAATACAAAAAGCAATTGGGTCTGATATGTTTGCCAATATTTATGAAGTTAAGTGAACCATATAGGGTAATCGAAATTTGACCTGATATGCCTGAATCAAATCATTTTCTAAACCTTTTCCAGTTATCCCCCCCCCCACCCCCCCCCTCCCTCGCCAATATATGAATACTCACACTTAATGATAAAAAAAAGGATTTTGTTCGAGGGGGCCTATTCATCTTTATCAGGACATTCATAACCAAACCCTTTTTGGCTAATATATAAGATTTGCTAAAAAAAATGAGTCTTCTTAATATTAGTGGTGGGGAACAGAATTTGGTTATAACTGTAAAAAGTCCCATTTTCTCATGTAACTCCCGAATTCCTCTTCATTTTATTATGTTTTTAAATATTGATCGTGTTATATTTTTATCTCGTTATTCTCAAAAAGTTTCGCTTTTTCTTTATTTTTTTGTTCCTATTTAAATTTATTACTGCAGTTCATTATTTTTCGATTATTTTTCTCAAAGACTTTTTGTCAAAGACAATAAAGATTTTCATGACAGAATAATGAGTATTAATTGTTATGCTGGGTCATGGACAGTCTAATGAAAGGTTCAATTTAACTGACATTGAAAAAATGATTTAAAATGAAGAGTCGTCCATTGGTATAGTAACCGAGCCTTTAGAGGTACCGGTATCTGTCTGGTGTGCATTAGAAACTTACCATTTTACAAGACGCCAAATGGAAAGAAGGAAAATGACACTCATTATATCTCATTCCAATACCCCCAATATTATCATCCTAACGTCCATCTATAAGAAAGAGAGTCATATGGATAAAGTGACACCAAATTTCTAACAATCCAGAAAAACGAAATCCTCAAACTTTCCAATTCTTTCAGCGGCCAACCCTAGTCCATTCAAAAAACTTGAGCTGAAAGAAAACTCATGCCTACAAAAACAAAAAATAACTCACTCTTTTCGCTTCCTCTGATAGCAATTTTGAATCAGTGGAGAATGCAGCTCCTCTTGCTGGATGAGGAACAGACTGAGCTCTTCCCAACAACCCAACATGATGATGATGTCCAGATGGAGAAGGATTCTGAAGATGTTGGAACTCTTCTCTCATGTAGAGAATCTCCTCTTGCAATTCCTCAATGATGACTTTCTGTTCGATTAATTTCGCCCCCTGTGAATAAAATGTTTGTTATGTAGCTTGAAAAATAAAATACTCCAAACATAGCACAAAAAACATAAAGCGCTAAAAGAGCATTTTGCAGTTTCGCTTTACGAAAACTCGCACTTGTACCTTCATGATCCAACCTTTGAGGCAAGCATATCACTACTGACAGAATCAACCAGATAGCTGTGACAGCTACTACAATACAAACAAAGCACAAAAAAGCATGAAGAGCTAATAGTTCAGGGGTGTATCAAAACCATTGTTACTTCGGAACAGTAATTTCTCCAGTACTTAAATTTGAGATAAATTGGTGACCCATTAGCCCCATCAAGTGATGAACCAAATTCAAAATAGTTTCATTTAAAAATTTGTCCTGTGAAGCTTCCAATAGATATACGAAAGTACGAATTTATCCAATGTCAGGCTGACTGATGGAGCTGAGCTTAACTAAAGGGTCCAGTTAAAAACAAACGAGAATATCGCTCAGAGACCGAAGACTTATCGATCGAAAGTTAGGGGATCCCCCAAAACAGCCATCTTACTCCATAGTGACACCTTGTGTCCCATCAATAATTAATCAATAACTCGCTAATTATACGACATAATTCGCCCAAAATCAATAGGCTTCTGGTCCAAGATATGATGAATGCACATGCAAAATCTGGAGCAGATTCAGTCTTGCTTTCGTGAGATATCGCGTGCATCTAACAGACAGACAAATACCTATCAACATACCTACCGATTAAAATCGATAAGTAACTAGGTATTTTCATTGGGAAGCAGAGAAATACAAATTTTGGAGTCTTTAAAAGGGGCAACGTATCACGAAAGTTTGAGAACCACCAGTTGTAAAGGCAGGAGAGTGCAAAATTTTTTGTCGATAGGCTACATAACAGACTTCGGGCATCTAGCTGGACCACACAAAAAATTTAGCGGAAAACGTGACAGAAGAGAACGTGGCTATATTTTAGCTTTACAGTAATAAATGCACCAGGCAAAAAAAGACAAAAACTTTAACGCAGAGAAAAGAGCAAAAAATATCATCTATTTTTATCCATGTGAGCGCCTCTTTAATTAAACATTAACTGCCGAATTCAATTTTATGCTTGATGGGAAAAATCTGAGTGATGACAAGGGCCACACTAAATGGCTTGTCGGGCCGGGTGATGGGCCATTGCAGACTCCAGGGCATTTAAACCATTAAATATAAATTATTCATCAAACCTGCTGTTCTCTTATCTCTTCAGCCATTTGAAGAGTTTCCTCTCTATCTCTGATTTCATCTTGGACTTCAGATAATGCTTTACCAAGTTGATCAATCTGTTAAAATGAGGATAAGATAAAACAAGAATATAAACATCATAAAAGAAGATAAGGTTAAGAGATAATGCCTTACTAAGTTGCTCAATCTGTGAAAAAAAAGGTAATTATCTTATCAGAAGAAGATACAATCAAACAAAGATAAATATCTTATTCAACAGAGACAATATCAAACAAAGAAGATAAGCCCAAGTACAGATAACCATTTTATGAAAAGCTGATAAGACCAAAGTGACCGAACATAGATACACATATTATCAAAAGAGGATAAGATCAAACTGGAATTGGGATAGGATTTACATATTTCTCCCGGGGTAAAGGAAAGACGATAAGACGGCTTAATCATATGATGAACCTTGTGTGCTGTTTCCAATTCATGTTGTCGGGTATGGGATTAGTTAGCCAGTTATTTGTTTTCAGATGCATGGACTTGAGAGTAGCGGAAGTCGTAACCGACCCCATGGCGGCGAGGAGTCCAGTAGTTCTCTTGCACATAATTATCCCTGCATGGGATTCGAACCACGCAGGGTAATCAGATATGCGGTATTCCAAACGCTTATCCTAATTCAGATTTTTATAGAACAGAAGTCAAGGTAAAAAAAATTTACAAAACGAAAGAGTCAGCATTCTCAATAAATTCCATCCCAGAAATGAGTTCTCTTGTTTTTAGAAAGGAATGAGTCATTCAGAATTCATTAAGGTTAGGAACCCAGGATTTCCTGGGCAAGAAAAATTGTTGAAGACTCATTGAATGCTCCTCTCCACGGAAATCTTTAGTAAAAGGCGAAAGATTTATGCGTGTAATGAAGAGAAACCAGAGTATTAATGATTGAAAACATACAAAATTATATACCCAATTTAAATAACCTAACGTTTGTGGTGTAAGTAGATAATAATAAAATAAATAAAGAACATCCCAGATTTGCTTTTTTCTTTTTGTTCTCTCACTCTTTGCTCATAATAGAAAAAGTGAGAGAATGAGGTAGTGCAAATAAAAAAAAGAGAGAGAAAATATTGCCATGCATGAGTTCTTTTAAGAGAGAAGCACCTTTCTTTGCTCTTTGCAACTGATGACATTTTGCCAGCCCTTTTAACACCAAGTCATTACTTATCATAACTAATAACCCATTTCAAACAACACTGTTTTTTTTTTCTACTTTCAAAGGGTGTGGGATTTGTGAAATTAGATCTGTATGAAATGCAGGTAATGATCACATGAAATCTGTGTTAAATAGCATATAAAGACATACAGGGTTGCAGGGGTATTGTCATGAATTTTCAAGGTGAGGGAATTTTCAAAATTTCTAATTGCCAAGTCGATTGTAACAGCTAGCAGGTTCATTGGGTAACATGGTTTTCAAAAGTCATGGGGGTCTAAAAAGCGCTTGAAGCTTTGAAAAATTGCTATCTATGATACAGAAAATGATATTTTTTTAAATTCAAAAAGGGGGGTTTCAACCCTGAAACTCGCCCTGGCTATGCCCCTTGCAGAGTGGCCAAAAATCAAAATTCAGGTGATTTGGAACTTATTAGAGCTAGCACGAGTTTTGTGTAAAGTGTCCTTGAATATTGAAACTTTCCGATACAATCAAACACAAATAGTTAGATCTCATTCACAGTGGAAATGCCTGTTAAAATAAGAAACCCAAACCCACCTGGGCGTCTTTAGCTGCAAAAACCTTATCATCAGATTCCAGAGTTCTTCTATACTCTTCTAGTTCCTGTTGTATCCGCTCATCTCGAGACATAGAAGCAGAGAAACTTGCGTTGAGATTTTGTTTGGAGAAAGCTGGGAGTTGAAATGAGATAATAATGAGGAAACTGAACTAATAAACAAGTGGACATGATGGCCCTAATCAGGGTTTTTCAGGCTCAGTCTCAGTCCCTGGCCATGGTGGAGTTCTCTTGTTGGCTTTTTTAATATTAAGATATGACAATTAAAATAACGCGCTATAAAATCGAAAGCAAAGGTACAGGAACTGAAGTCAGGATAAAACAGGGTAAAAAAAAAAAGAAAGACTTGAGTCAGCATTCCCGAGATAAATTCCGTCAAAGATATTGGAAAAATCTAGCAATCCTCTCACATCTGGCAATTGCTCAAATATAATAGCCAGCTCCATGAGGGGTCAAAAGTTCAGTTTGAAGAACCCTGAACTAGGAAGAAAAAAGCAGTATTAAGACCCAGAGAAACAGCTCCCTTTGCTCATGAAACCCAAAGAACCAGCTCCCTTTGCTCATGAGACCTAGAGAACCAGCTCTCTTTGCTCATGAGACCTAGAGAACCAGCTCTCTTTGCTCATGAGACCCAGAGAACCAGCTCCCTTTGCTCATGAGACCCAGAGAACCAGCTCCATTTGCTCATGAGACCCAGAGAAAGAGCTCCCTTTGCTCATGAGACCTGAAGAACCAGCTCCCTTTGCTCATGAGACCCAGATAACCAGCTCTCTTTGCTCATGAGACCCAGAGAACCAGCTCTCTTTGCTCATGAGACCCAGAGAACCAGCTCTCTTTGCTCATGAGACCTAGAGAACCAGCTCCCTTTGCTCATGAGACCCAGATAAACAGCTCTCTTTGATCATGAGACCTAGATAACCAGCTCTCTTTGCTCATGAGACCTAGATAACCAGCTCCCTTTGCTCATGAGACCCAGATAACCAGATCTCTTTGCTCATGAGACCTCGAGAACCAGCTCCCTTTGCTCATGAGACCCAGAGAACCAGCTCCCTTTGCTCATGAGACCCAGAGAACCAGCTCTCTTTGCTCATGAGACCTAGAGAACCAGCTCTCTTTGCTCATGAGACCCAGAGAATCAGCTCTCTTCGCTCATGAGACCTAGAGAACCAGCTCCCTTTGCTCATGAGACCCAGAGAACCAGCTCTCTTTGCTCATGAGACCTAGAGAACCAGCTCCCTTTGCTCATGAGACCCAGAGAACCAGCTCCATTTGCTCATGAGACCCAGAGAACCAGCTCCCTTTGCTCATGAGACCCAGAGAACCAGCTCCATTTGCTCATGAGACCCAGAGAACCAGCTCCCTTTGCTCATGAGACCCAGCTCCATTTGCTCATGAGACCCAGAGAACCAGCTCTCTTTGCTCATGAGACCTAGAGAACCAGCTCCCTTTGCTCATGAGACCCAGAGAACCAGCTCCATTTGCTCATGAGACCCAGAGAACCAGCTCTCTTTGCTCATGAGACCCAGAGAACCAGCTCCCTTTGCTCATGAGACCCAGAGAACCAGCTCCATTTGCTCATGAGACCCAGAGAAAGAGCTCCCTTTGCTCATGAGACCTAGAGAACCAGCTCCATTTGCTCATGAGACCCAGAGAACCAGCTCTCTTTGCTCATGAGACCTAGAGAACCAGCTCCCTTTGCTCATGAGACCCAGAGAACCAGCTCCATTTGCTCATGAGACCCAGCTCTCTTTGCTCATGAGACCCAGAGAACCAGCTCCCTTTGCTCATGAGACCCAGAGAACCAGCTCCATTTGCTCATGAGACCCAGAGAAAGAGCTCCCTTTGCTCATGAGACCTAGAGAACCAGCTCCCTTTGCTCATGAGACCCAGATAACCAGCTCTCTTTGCTCATGAGACCTAGAGAACCAGCTCCCTTTGCTCATGAGACCCAGATAACCAGATCTCTTTGCACATGAGACCTCGAGAACCAGCTCCCTTTGCTCATGAGACCCAGAGAACCAGCTCCCTTTGCTCATGAGACCCAGATAACCAGATCTCTTTGCTCATGAGACCTCGAGAACCAGCTCCCTTTGCTCATGAGACCCAGAGAATCAGCTCCATTTGCTCATGAGACCCAGAGAACCAGCTCCCTTTGCTCATGAGACCCAGAAAACCAGCTCCCTTTGCTCATGAGACCCAGAGAACCAGCTCCCTAAGGGGCCCCGAGAGTTCAGTTTGAGGGGGATATCAAAAAAACAGTAATCAAGACTTACCCAGGCCATTCTTTGAGACAGACTCCAACCACTTCTTAATATTACTACTGTGTGTTTTATTGACGTGTTTTCCAGCACAAACTAATTTGAAATGCTTCGCTGCTTCTTCTATGTGTTTCTTGTATAATCTACAGTGGGTTTGCAACTCTTCGACTTCTAGTTCAAGAATCTGAAATAGAATTGTTGATATTTTGATGAAAAATAACATTCAGCAGGAAACTTGGGGTATTTCTAGTAGACCAGACAGTGGGGCAGGGCCGTACCCAGGATACTGTCCAGAACCCCCCTTTTGAAATGTAAAAAAGTAATTTTCTGCATCATATATCATTGCGGTGTTACACAAAAACTTCAGAACTCTTGCCGTAATCAATTTTTCAAATTTGAAGTATGTGATTAGAGTACTTTGCAGTAATGTTGCTATTTATGAGCAAGTTAACTTATCTCAACTTATCTTGTTAATCTGGATTAAATACAAGATTGAAGCAAAAACATTTACATAAGTTTGTAAGCAACATATGTACCAGGGGTGTATCCAGGAGTTCAGGAAGGCTTCACAAATTTCCAATTGCCAAGTTAGACCATAACAGCTAGGACAGGGGTTCCCAAACTAGGGTTCGCAGACCTTTTGGGGTCTGTGAAGCACTTTCAGAGGGTCCGCAAAAGAAATCTGTTATATGGCTCATAGTTTGATAATGCAAGAATTAAGCGCTTAAATTTGCAAATAAACATTTTCGATCACGCTGCCCAATTATGATGTTACAGAGCTGTGAGCCTGTGATATCACAGAGAGAGTTCAATTGATGCATTACAAGTTGATGACTGCAGAGAGGTAGCTGACGGTGCCTTTTTGCACACTTGTTGATTTTTCACTATACCATACGGCGCATTTTTTTTTTGTTTCGATCTTTAAATGTTTTATTTTAGTGCACAAGACCGTGAATCATTACAAAAACTGCAAGAGGTCCGTCATAGAATTTTTTTTAAAAAGTTTGGAAACCACTGAGCTAGCAGGTAGGTAGCGACGAAATGTGGGTTTTCAGGTCTTGAAAGGGTGCTCCCGAAGTATGCGAACCAAGATGGCGGACATCGGAACGTAACATGGGTAACAGGTTAGTGTTAGGCGATAATTTTTTTCCAATTTTCCTTATTTTGGTCCTATTATCAGTTCGAAGACTAGCCAAGAGCCTCCCGTAGTATTTATACCTAAAATTATGGCCTAACCCTAACCTAGTACACATATTACATTCCGATGTCCGCCATCTTGGTTCGCATACTTCGGGAGCCCCCTTGAAAGCGTTTCAAGTTACAAGAAATTGCTCCGTATGGTACAGAAAAATGCTTTTTCCAACCCACATAGCCACCCCCTAATCTGACCAATACTGAAAATGTAGTACTATATCATCAAAATAGCTGGATGGAGAAAAAAAAATTCGGGGCTCCCGAAGTATGCGAACCAAGATGGCGGACATCGGAATGTAATATGTGTACTAGGTTAGAGTTAGGCCATAATTTTAGGTATAAATACTACGGGAGGCTCTTGGCTAGTCTTCGAACTGATAATAGGACTAAAATAAGGAAAATTGGAAAAAAATTATCGCCTAACCCTAACCTGTTACCCATGTTACGTTCCGATGTCCGCCATCTTGGTTCGCATACTTCGGGAGCACCAAAAATTCTTTTTCAATAAATTGGATATGCTATGCCAAATCCCGAGACAGTTTTCAGTGTAATCATATTAGAATTGAATTTTTATAATTTCTGGAAAGCTGAATATTCTACCTTTTGTTTTTGCATTGCAATCTCTCTTGTTGTTGGTCTGCTCTGTAACTGTTGTTTCAATTCTTCAATTTCATCTTGAAGGTCTTCAATCAAAATCTATAAAAAGTAAATATAAATATAGTGAAAATAATTGACACAGAAATCTTATATGTATCGATTTGCTAAATTTTTTGGAGTTACAGAAAATATGTGGACCAAGATGCCACACAACCTGAACAGAGTAGGTGAACCAGGTTAGGGTTATCAGGTAGTGCGCCATCTTGTTGCACATACTTCTGAAGCGCCCATCTTTTTTACAGACAATTTATCAATATATTCCAAATTTTCACTAGGATAAATATGAAGTTATCTTTAATTGCAACAAATAATATATCTTTTTGCACATATTTTGACACCCCCTGGCATTCAGTCAGGATAGTCTGCCATCTTTTCGCTAAACCCTGTGCTTAGCTATAGCCTATAATGCAATTCAAGAGTCCTGCTGTATGTTAGTGAGCAGCAGGACTCTCTTGAAGGCGTAACCTCTACTGATAGTTATCGAATATGCTCTTTTTACCGCCCAATCTTGATTAAGGGCCTGTTTGAATAGCCGCCCGTGTGAACAGGACATAAAAATAAATAAGGGCCGGTGCTTGAATACCCGCCCGATGTAAAAGCTGATTTTTCAGTGGTAGAGAACAATAGGAAATAAGAAGCGCTCTTGTCACAACGCTGTTGAATTTTAAGCGCTGGTAGATAACACTCACGCCTTAAGCGTCCAATTACATAACAGATAGCATTGATTACGTAACACCGTGGTTCTCAAACTGGGGGTAGCGACGCCCAAGTGCGTTGTTTCAATACTGATAGGGCGTCGCAAAACTTTTCTTTATTTGCAGATTTGTACCTGCGGTGCGTAGAAAAAGTCAACATTTTCGTTATTCTCATTTAAAGCATACTTGAGAACTGGAAATGACAATATCAAATATTTTTTTTCAAAGATATCGTAATTTTTGTGTATAATTTTACTTTAAAAAAAACAAGCGCCCGTGCTTGAATAAGGGCCGGTTTGAATAAGGGCCCAGTTAGTGAGTTTGGTTAAAAAAATATGGGCCCGGGCTACAAAACAAGCAAATACGGTATATTGCTTTTTTTGTTGACTTTTTACCATTAATTATTGCGAATAAACTAACTGACAAAAACCTGTTGAAACAAAACTAGGTTTTTGGTATAGAAAAACAGGCGGCCACAGAGTGTTGAAAGTCTTTGAAAGGGGGCCGTGAAAAATGTAACTTCGAGAACTGCTGCACTTGCCCATCACAACATAAAGAAAAACGCTTTGCGGACTTCCCTGCCGGCACCCACCAAAACTATCACACATGGGCCTCGGGCCTCTGGATTTTTTATTGGGTTTCACTCCACCAAAAAATTGAAATGAACTGCCCTAGGCCAGGGCTGCGCAACTATTTTCACCAAAAGTCCGTTTAGAAAACTTCAAAATTACTGGGGTCTGGACATTACAGAAAATTTATTTCATTAAATAAACGAGCTTCAAATGCAATATGAATGGCTCGCAATTATGGACACAAATGTCGCACATCTGTAGCTGTGTATTTAAATTGTATCAAAATCATCTAAAACTATAACACGATGCTTGTGCTGCCAAAATAAACATGCAGACGCGGTCCAAATTGAATGGTGGAAAGGTCCGCCAGTTGAGTAGCCCTGCCCTAGGCCACTGCCCCACAAAAATCCGCTCTTCACACTTCACTGTGAACACCCACCTGTTGAGGATCTCTGTTTACCACTGGTTTATTGGTGATATTCTTGGCACGATTTGCGTACTTCAAAGCATTCAATGTTTCATCAAAACTTGTTGAAGACGGACTTATGCAGGTGATCATGACTGTGCGAGCGTTCCCTCCAAGTGAGTCTTTCAGGACTCTGGAAATACAAAGGGTTGAAACTGATTTGGGTGGCAAAACAAGTTTTTCATTATTTCAAACATTAAAAATTCTCGTCCCTCCCAAATTGTAGCTCTTCACATACCACTTTAAGGACTCTGGAAATAAATGGACATGAATTACAAATCGAGATCAACTCAAATCTTATGCCCATTCACAGAACTGAAAATTCTTTATTACTGCGCCACAAGAAATACAAAGAAAATACAAAAGTATCTTGGTTATGGCTTCCTACGGCATCCAAATTCATGTGTAGAAGTTTAAAAACTCGAATTTGATTACCTCCAAAAATGCTAAAATCCACCAGCTATAGAAGACATTTGACTTCCATGATAGAAATATGGTAGAATTTTAATTTACCTTGTAATCTTTGAGTCCCTGTAAGGCACGTGTCCAATTTTCTTTTTCTTCGGATCACTCAAAGCACTGATAACATTTCCCAAAGCAAGAAGCCCAGTGTTGATTTGAACTGACTCTTTGAACCTATGAAACAACAAATGTGATAGATACATAAATGGGATGAAAATTTGAAGATGGATAAGATGTTTAACATTGAAAACGCTCTTTAAATAATAATAAAGTTAAAACATACAGTATACATATAATTCATTTAAAGCGTAAATTCTAGATATATCAGTAGTAAATCTGTATAGATAGGGACTGAAGTAGCTGAATTGCTAGTATCACATGATACTGAAGCAAGAAATGTATAAAAACTAATCCATTTAATAAGATCTCCTTTGTGAACTGTTTTGAGAATTAAAACTACAATTTTATTTCAATTTTTGCAAAATTATCTATTTTCCTGTTATGAAACTGCCTTAAAATATTAGATATTAAAACATTTTTGATAAACCCCACCTAATGCAAAGTGTAATAAATTGGTTAGGCAATGTCGCACCAGAAAGATCCAGGTCTTGTAAAGATTCTTGTTCAAAGCAAAAAGCGCCAAACGAAAAAATATTAACACTATAACAAACCTCTCTCCAGTATTCCCAGTTCGATTAGCTCTTTCTGAGCCAGCAAGGTCAACGAAATGAAACTTAGCTGACATTACATTCTGTATTTTCTCATCATCAAGATCATCTGAATCCATCAATCCATTCATGCTATTATTACTGTTGTTTGTGTTCAAATTTTTAGGTCTCGGTGTGCACGGCCATGTCTGGTAATGATGTAAAGAAAAGCATAAATCTTGAATCAGAAAAGTGGTAGGTGAAAAAGAGGTTTAAGTGGGATTGGATTTACATATTTATCTCGAGAGATAGGAAAGCCGATAAGACGGCTCAATTATATGGTGAACCACGGCATCTGGTCAGGTCACCAGTCCCTGTCGAGTATGGTTAGCTAGTCAGTTATATGTTTTCCGAAGCATGGACTTGATGGTGGAGGAAGCTGTAAACAAGTGGTCGGCAACCTTTTTTCAGTGACAAACCGGTAAAGCATGACCAAAATTTTGGCGGACCACTTTTATACAAACGAACTAATCACCTTTGTTTTTGAATGCATTGTCAACATAAATTTTCTTACGCATATAATTTATTACATTAGATTAGTAGCTGCGTTAGAAAATTTATATTGACAATACATTCAAAAACAAAGATACTATTCACGTAACGTATTTCTTACGTTTGGCCTACTTCGATCTTTCGTTTTTGTGTCACCTTTCTGCGGACCAGTAGTGACTTTTCCGCGGACCGGTAGTGGGCTGCAACCCGGTGGTTGCCGACCACTGCTGTAAACGACCAGCGGTTACAATAACAGGGGACATGTGATGAACTATCAGTTATTGGCCTCTTTTTTTATTTAAAACGCCGGACCCCCATGTGACCTTTGCAGGGGAGTTCAAGAGTCACCTCCTCAAGAGGGCTGGGGAATGGGGATCCAGAGCTGAAGCCAATCTCACCAAAATAGATAGAGCTGAAACTGTAGGTACCAGAAATTTTAGCGTTTCCAGCTGCCTATAAAATCTATCTCTTTCAACTCCAATATTAATAAACTGTTACACAAGACGCAGAGCAGCCCACAATTTAAAATTCCAGAAAACCCATGTACACTAAACTACAATGATAATAACTTTCCTTCCAATCTCTTGCTTTGTAATAAAACATTCATTCTACCTACATAACCCAAGGCTATTTGAACCATGGCAGCCATAAAAGCAGGCAGTGGGCGAACAAAAGTACAAAAAGGAAAATATTAGCTACATATGTTAAATTATTTATTATTGTTCATGACGGTATTTTGAATGCGCATGAAATATGCATGTTGAAGTAAATGCAAATTTTATTTTGCTCGTAGGGTGCAATGCATTAATATAGAGAAATTGGGTAAGCAATTACATTGTTAAAAAAATAGTGAACCATACTGAACCAAACCTGTATCATATGAATAGTAAATATTGCATGAGATCTGCTTGATAACTCATTCATCTGTGTCGCCCCAGTGTGACGAACTGCGCTGCCCTTCTGAAGTAAGCTCATGACTTCGTCAGCTGTGGAACAATTCTCCTCTCTTGCCCCGATTATCACTGAAATAAATATTGAAGATGAAATAGCAACAAGAGAAAAATATTACGCAGTTCAAGGGTCTTGATGCACATTAACACAAATGATCTCTGTAACGTTTCATCTGACCGAGGTCAGACTTCCTCAGACAATCTCCGACTTTGATCAGACAAAATGTTGCAGAAATACATTTATGATAGTGTGCGGCAGGATTCTAGTATAGCATTGTATGGCCATGTTTATTCTTGCTACAGCATCCTTGCATTATACACATACAGATACACTAGTATAAATGCATTGAGGAAGGATAGGGACAACCAAACTCATAATTAAGAGAAAAAAGATAATAAAGCAAAGAGCAAACATATAACATATATCAGTCAGCAATTCGAAAGACTATACCCCTGGTTCTAAAAACATTAAAAAACATTGATTTATGGAGATGATTTATTGCCTATACCCACTACCTCAATTTGGTCAAAAAAAATTGTATATGCAATGCTGCAAAGCTGTATAGGCAATGTAAGAAAGATATCTAATGAAAATAGTAGATCTTCCTATATTAGTTGCAAAGATTTTGCTCATGGACAGAGAACTAGGGATGGGCAATAAAGAATACCGAATCCGGAGGGTTTAAATACCAAAATATTCGAATCCAACAAGATCCGATAACAGGATTCGGTTTCCGCCTCTCCGGTGCCATGCATCAATTTTTGTATTTCGGGTTTCTAATTTATCAATTGAAGACGCGCGTTTTTTCTCGCAGGGAGATCTCTCTCGTTTATTTGAACTTGCGTCTGCTCTCAAAGAACCCTTAAAATCGGTTAACATCAAACACTGTAATTGTAATCTCAATTGGCGTATTCTAGACAAGAAGTCGGCGAAGTACACCTCATGGCGAAGACTCGTTATGACACAATTTTTGTTCAACCCGAGCATTTTTTCTCGCATGGAAATATATTCTAGACTAGTAAATTATTCTACATTGCTCATCCCTACAGAGAACCTCGGCCGAAGTGAGAGTGTGAAAAAGCCGTATAAAAAATAATCGCCCCCTTGACTCAAGCAATTATTTACCAGTGTTCCCATTCTGATCTTCTCTGATATGAACATCTTTACATTTTTGAAGATCAACTTCCAATAAATCTCGGACTTCTTCTTTATAGATTTCAACATAAGAAACCTGGGTGGTGATAAACTAATATTAGAAATATAAAATTGTGAGCATGAGGGGCTAGCGCCGAACTCAACTATTGTGTCCGAATTTATATCCCCTTTACATATTAGTAGGTGCCCATTGAGTCTTATTATTCTGAGTGAAAACATCAAAAAATAAAATATCATAGCCATGCACCAATAGTTAAGTAGAATTTCCTAGGTATTCAAAAAAAAAGGAAGGCAATGAGATAAACGGCTTGGGTTAGGGGCGCTCCAGAAGTGTGAGTACCAATATGGAGGTAAATAATTTTGTTCGCCGACTTTACATCAAGTTGTGTAAAGGGACTTAAACCTATGGGCAGGGGGTATATTCACTTGGCTAACACAGCAGACAGTCCCCGACTCGTAATAAAACTAAACAAGGAAAATCGGAATAAAATTATAGACTAACCTTATACACATACTACGGGAGTACCAGGGTAGGCATATAGCTAACTATTGTCCAGTCACAATGACCTGTCTAGGTTTGGTATGATTATAAGAATAATTACCACCTTTTACATAGATGGACATGCAGGGGGAGGCATAATAAGAAATTTGCTCAAAATAAGGTTAAACACCCTCACTAATAAGTAAAAGACTCTCCAAGTAAAGTTTTGGGTGTGCTACACACACTCACAAAGAAGTAAGAGACTCCTCCCCGACTAGAGTTTGGGTGACTTACACACACTCACTGAAATGTGAGAGACTCCCCGATGAGTAAAGTTATGGGTGACCCCTCAAAAATCTGCTGGAATATTCCAAGAAAGACTGTGTTCACTGTTCATAGCTTGAAACAACATCAGTGACAACTAAAACTCAAAATAACCGCGGCGGTGTGGCTCATCGTGCTAAGCGTTAGTAATACGCTCGCCACAGCATCTCTAATTACTCTGCGTGGGTTCGCAGGTTCGAATCCCATGCGGGATGGTTATGTGCGAGAGGATTGCTGGACTCCTCGCCGCCGTTGGGTTGTTCATGTAACCGCTGGTCGGTTACGGCTTCCTCCACCATCAAGTCCATGCTTCGGAAAAACAAATACCTAACTAATCCCATACCCGACATGGAATGGTAACCGAACGAGAGGACGTGGTTCGCCATATGGTAAAGCCGTCAAATCGGCTTTCCTCTCCCCCAGGATAAATATGTAAATCTTATCCTTATCCTAACCTTAATTGCATGGTCAATATGTTTTCTTCCTGGTGATTTAATCTCAGAAAACATCTCATTAATAGCTCTTGGTATAATTCCTTGTTCATCCCTCGTTATGTTTGCAGGATTGCTCCCACCGATAGTGTATGTCTTCCCTGAACCGGTTTGACCATACGCGAACACTGTAGCATTGTAGCCTTGAAAACAGCCATCAACCAGAGGCTTCACAGTGGTTTTATAGATATCCTGAAAGTACGAGGGAAAGATTTGAATTCAAATAATAAGAAAATGGAAAGCTGAACATATAGCTACCCAGTGATATATCCAGGGTGTCCATAAAGTTCCTTTACAATTTTGATTTTGCGATGTAGTCAGTTCTCAATATATCTTAATAACCAGGTTTGTTGTTTTGTTTGTTTGTTATTTCCTGACAGTTGCAGAGTGGTTCAGAAACCGCTGGTCTAGCACCAAGTCATGTATCTCAAACAAACGATCAGTAAACTACCCTCACAACAGACATGTAATGACAAACCGCGAGAAAACCCTGGTTTACCATATGAGTCACTTACTATGCTATATATCCTACACTACCAAACCAGCATTAGCACATGCTAACAAGCCCAGAAACTTAGAAATATCTAAAAAGTTACTTATCAACATACACAAAAAGTGAATGCAAGTTTTATTAACCAACATAAAATAAATTTGAACCTGTTGTTTTGTGTTCCACCAATGCAAATGATCAAAAGTGAAAGATCTGTCTTTTCCAACAAGAAGTTGATTCTTGGAGTTTGAAACTTTCTTTACACAAACCTGAAAAAATAAAAATACTGACGTCAATTTATTCTTCGAAAAACATGAGCTTTAAAACTAAGGAAAAATAGTTATATGATATGTTATGCCATATTTCCCATATGCAAAGCTTCCCTTTCTGCCACACTAAATCTGTTGGAAAAGTGTCAAACCACCTATTATCTGACTGGGTAGAATTACAATTATATGTAAGGCCATATATAGTCATGTTATATCTATGGAAAATATTACACCCAACCAGAATAATCATGATGATTAGGGGACAGTTTCACCTAATTTGCCATTTGATATGTTTTGACCTTGAAAGAAAATAAATGAAGCCTATTGGACGGTGACCGTACATTTGAACCCATGCGTATATCCACGGGTTTAATCTATATGCGGGTGCTAAAACCCATGGGTTAGGGTTAGTATGGGTTTAACTATCCGTGAAACAAAAAAAATTCCATAGGTGCAATAGCATACAGGTGCAATTGTCATGGGTTCAAATGTACGTGGGTTCAAATGTAATGAACCCTATTGGACAGATATAAGAAAATAATTTCAGAAAAGTTGTAAACATCTTTAATTCATCACCTGGTGGCTATGAAGTCTTTCACTTGGTAGAAGAGGCCTCACACGGACGGCAACACAGACATTTACAGAATCATCGGCCATCTTGCTCTCACAAAGTGCAATCAAAGAAAATTAAAATTATATTAAAATCATACTAAAATATTTCCTGAGTGAAGAAAATAATTGAGAAAATCAGAAATGTTTTTATTACAATAAAATCGAGTTTTAGTCCTATTTTTTATACAATTACACTTATTCAATGCCATCCTGCATAGACAGGGTGAGAAATTTACTGGGTTATACAGGGCTATGTGTTAAAGTCTCCTTTGCAAGTACATTTAGTACATAGTTTTGGTTAGACTACCAATAATTTCTTTGAACATCTTCGGGAATCAGATCTACTTCGTCTCCAGCTGTTCATTGAACATGTACCACTCATTAAACCTATTCTACTCTGCTAAAATCTTTCCACTCTGCCCCTATATTTTGTCGAAGCATCAAAACTGAGTTATCAATTAGAAAGAGGACAACAAAAAGATTTGAGATTATGAAAATGATTAATTCTAGTTTTATTCCAATAACTCCAAGTGGCAAGAGAATACGAAATCTATTATATTGGAGTCTGAAATATTCTTGAAATCTAAAATTCATCAATCCAACAAATACCTTATACATTCGTTGTAGGCATTTATGAAAAAAATCCATACTCAAACAGAGGATAACATTTCATTGATTCATTTTTCTCTCAGTCGTTTTATAAAACAAACAATATCATTATTTCTAATCCCGTAAGTTTTTAATTTATCTTTATCGTTTCTAAGTTTTTGTCCATCAAAATATAACCAATATGTCTGCCATACATATTTCCAACTAATATGTTTAGGCCCATTTTCTCGTTGCATTTTGAGCGTAAAGTGTCTTTTTATCGCAGATTTTAAATCTTTTACTGTTCCATTTTGGTTGACAATAACTGTGTAGCAATCTCCATCAGCTCTGTTCACTGTGATAGTCATTGCCCGTCCATATTCCAGATCTATCAAGGATTTTATTTCTTCTATTGTGATGTCATCTCTGATGTCATAAAGCAATGGATCGCCCAACATTTCATCCAATTTTTCTTTAAATATATCCTTACTATCTTCCTCAGTCATTATAATAATACAGTAGCACTGTATAAACTTTATATATATGTTGAAATGCTATAAATGTATCAAGAGCCAGAGTTCCTAATTTTCTTAACTAAAATCAGAAAATACAAATACTGAAATATATATTGAAATAATAAACGGTAATTCCTTTGGTATAACTGGGATATGTTGATACAACCCAAACACAATCCATACAGGCAAATACGGGTAATACAATAACTTTTTTAAATATTCAACTCAAAACAAGGCTCCCAACTTTTACGAGCAAATCTGGACAAACTCGAAACACGGCGCAAATTGTATCAATTTTATTTCAAAGGCATCCAAACAAAGTTTTCTGTTTGTGTACTGACAACTGATGTCACGTGACCATGGAAATCCATTGATGTGTGCAATGATTTTCCTTAAATTCTCAATAATCGAGACAGAGCAGAAGTATAATAAAAAATGAGTCGAAGTTTCGATCTTTATTTTAATTCAAAATATTATATAAATCAGCCTAAAATGTGCAAAAGAGATAATCATACACCAACATTTGTCGAGCCCCTTCTGTCCACTTGATAGCGTATGTTCCCGCGACGATTGCACTCAGCGTGTTCACTATTCAGTTATTCTTGCTTAGGCGCGCAGGTTTTGCTTGCGAATTTTTGAAATTTTCTGGTTCAAAAGCCGAAATTACGGAGAAAATGGCGTACAAAGGAACCAAAGTACAGAAGGTTATGGTCCAGCCTATTAATCTAATTTTCCGATACTTGCAAAACCGATCGAGAGTTTCAATTTGGTTGTATGACCAAGTTAACATCAGAGTGGAAGGACATATTGTCGGATTCGATGAATACATGAATTTAGTATTGGATGAATCAGAGGAAGTTCACCTGAAGAGGAGCACTAGAAAAACTCTTGGCAGAATCATGTTAAAGGGAGACAATATCACTGTCATTCAGCAGGTCCAGGAGCCGGAATCCATGGCTGCATAGTTCGTCTATTGGCAGCTAGTTTTATGGACTGAAACAACGGATTTAAGAACTTTCTGATCATCAATTTTATTTTAAACTTAAACGGAATTTAAGCTGCGGTTCCAAGTAATTTTTGAATCCTGATAATGATGCTGCAATAAATTTTGTTCGTACCATTTATTAAAAAAATTCAGCGAAACCATCACTGCTAAATTTACAGTTTTATGAACTGAAACCCTGGAATTATAAATTGCAGTTACCTTTCCAATCATCAAAATTTTTTGAACCTAAAAACAGATTTTAAGGTTTAGTTTACCTGAAGTGCAAACAGACTTTAATTTCTTTTATTTATAATTTTGATGATGATGCTGCAACAGTTTTTGTTATTACTGTATTAGCTGAACAGAAAAAGTCTAATAATAACCAACTTCAAAATTATTGAAAGCTGATTTTCAACAATCTTTATATCCTATTCTGAAGTCTTCACTTCATTCAGAAATTAAAAATGCTGCAATAAGTTTCGCACGTAACATTTATTAAAAATATTCAACAACTCTGGAATTATAAGTTGCAATTAGCTTTCCAATCATCAAAAATACTTTTAACCTGAAAACAGATTTTAAGGTGCAGTTTACATGTGCAAACATACTTTAATTTCTCATTATTCATAATTTTAATAACGATGCTGCAACAAGTTTTATTATTACTGTCTGTATTACCTTAATAGAAAAAGGCAAATAACCAAATTCAAAATTATTGAAAGCTGCTCCTTAATTTTTTAAATCCTATTTTAAAGTCCTAGTTCAGTTTTTATCATGTGGAGTGCAAATTCGATCGCTGCTGCTGTTTGTTCAATTGTGCAGTAAAACTTTTCATGCTATTGCCAATGGTGGTGTCTCCATCTCACTGGCAATGGATATATTTTGCTGCTTTTTTGGCTTACTTAGAACTTAAAAAATTTCCCAATAAACCTTTATACTATATGAACTGTTGTAATTTATTCTCCGACATTTTACCAGAATTTACATTTGCACTGCGCAGCTGTTGAAATATGTGCAATTTTTTATATGGGTTCCAGATCTCTTTAGTGTGAAAAAAAGGGTGGAGCAGATTATTAAATTTTTAGTCAGAAATGTACTTTGCTTGTCGATCACGAGCACTCTGAATGAAGGGACCATAGAAATTATTAGCACTTCGAGACTCTAAAAAAACATCACACTTGTACAGCCCAATGAATTTTCAGACAGATCATTAAATTCAGAGTTGAGAAATGCACAACACTATAAGGCAACAAAGGATATTTACTTCCATTTTATTTTCTGAGGTATTTGTTCAAGCATATTCATGTGCTCTGCTCCCACTAAGGAGTTAAGGTGAATTAATATCATTTGGGATCCCAGGATTCTACTTCAGCTTGATCTGGGTCCTTTTTCTTAGGTTTAGGAACTTCAGTTTTTGGTATATCCTTTTCTTTTTTTTGCTGTTCATCTAAAAATTTCACTCTTTCTTTCATTTTTCGCATTCTAAGTAAATTGTTTTCAACTTCTAGCTCTGTTGGAGGAAGTTTCCTTCTCCCTTGAAGCCAAGATAACCATTCTGTGGGAATATCTCGGCCCGATTCAATTATATCTCGTTGATGTGGGTCTTTCACCGGAGTATCGACTGATCTTTTCGTTTTAAATACTTCTTTGAGTCCAAAATAATATTTTTGTGGCGGAGTCTCGTAGTAAATATTCCCTATAAAGTCTCTTCCTTTGCATATTTTATCCGGTTCCAATCGTAGTGATTTCGAAATCGCTTGCAAACCTCGTCGAAGCATTATTCCACAATGCTATTTAATTAAAACATTTTTTAATTTAACTATCTGCTTTAAGAAAATCAAAAATTAACAAAATATTGCACTTTGATAGTATAATCGAGAAAAGCAAAAATGCCAGTAACAAAGTAGTCAAGATGATCTATTAATTAAGATTGAAGTTTAGCATGACTAATTCATATTTATAAATCGGGAGTCAAAAATTTTAAAATTATGCAGAGGCCCACTTCCAGGCTTTTACTGGTGTTAATATCAAAAAATTTTGACAGAAAACGAGTAAGCACCAACTTTACTAAGAATTCTCATTAGACTAATAAATGCTTTCATATACCAGTGTTTCTGTTAACTAACTTTAGTTTTCTTGAGTCTGAGTTAACACACAGGCCAATAGGAAAAAAAATTGGACCTTTTCCAGTTACCCCCACCCCTTAATATACAGGGTGGGCAAAAGTTATCCATAGTTTTATTAATTTAATGACTACCTATTTTTGATTACCCAGTTAGCAATGCAGATTGTACTGGAAAATCAAATTCCATTCAAATCATTCCTAACCCTAACTGGATGAATACTAATTTGTTATTTTAAAACAGGGCGGGGTAACAATGGTGGAGGGGGGGATAGCAGAAAAATATCTGAAATTTCATATGAAATGGATCAACATTTCACAGTACATTGAAAATTATCGCACAGTTTGGAAACCACTAATGTGAAGAATATAAGAAATTTCAAAACCAGGCACAGAAATGGCAATACAGATGAATTTGAATCAAATTTTATAATAGAAATGTAACATGTACTAAAATTTACTGAAGTGAAAATGTATTATCATATACTCGTTCATATAAATTGAAGTAATTGAACTGAACAATGACATTGCACAGCAGCAATTCCCAGCCGAGGGCTCGTGGCTGCCCAAGGGGCCACAGAGCAGTTGGATGGGGGGAATGCTGGACGCAAAAATCATTTTACTTTCCACTTCATACGTAAACCACTCGTTCTTCCTAGTTTCATTGCTTGATAAGGTTATTTCACAGAGTGTTTTTACTTTGTTGAGCATGAATTGTTCAACATAATGCAATTTGGAATCTACCAATCAAAGTAGCACTATGAATACCACTGGAAAGATAAACAGAGGGCCACGAGCCATAGAAGGTTGGACACCACTAGTGTACAGCTATGTTAGAAGACCACAGCTGACAACTAGCATTATATTTAATAACGTTCCAAAGTTATGTAGTAGATATATGTAAAGCGTGTAATGTTGAATACATACATGAAATGAGGGAATCTGTTGTTGGTAAGTTCAATACAAAAGACTTGCTACAGCATAGATTGAACTATCACAATTATTTGATGGCATTTGGCAAGCATAGTAAATAGGTTCTAATGAATATATATAAAAGGTATTGAAAATCAAAAATAATGTAATATGCTAATTGTGAATAAATAAATGAATATCAATATAATGTTGAAAGAATAATACAGATTAAATAGAACATACACAGTAAATACTTGATAGGCTACAGATTATCAATGAAATTTACCGAAAAAAAGCTTACCAATACAGAAATGACTCTTGGTACACAATGGTAAATGACTATGCAGATATGGACAAATCCTATGATTAGTGTGGTCGTCATGCGGTATGAATGAATGAAGGTTTTGGGTGCAAACCTCGTGCCAATCAACTTGTCTACTATGTACTAAAATTAATATGAACCAGTAGGTACAGTACAGTAGAATGAGATTTGCATATTATTCTAGAGATATGGTGAACCAATCTGGTCTGGTTACCAGTCAATGTCAGGTATGTGATTAGTTATCCAGATATTTGTGATGAACCATACAAATTCTAATTCCTCCAGAAATAGAATATCTATCACATAAGCAGATGTCTGTCTAAAACTTTGTTCAGGGCTAAGATACTTTACCAGATGGAGTATTGGTCGGTATTAAAGGTACTAAGAGGTTGCGTAAAGTAATAAAAAATGCTGTGATTCATGAGTATGCCAGTGAACGAAACAGAGAATATACAACAAGCATATGTCCATATTCAGAAGGTCTTCCATTATGAACAATATATATGAAATTTTTTAAGGTTTTTTCTTGCTGTATAGACTTACCATTATTGCTAGTCAATCAGTGTTGTGTCCGAGTATATTGTTGGGAAAATGTTTAACGTAAGCATATGAAGTGAGATTCACGCTAGGACGTTCTGGGCATAAATATTGTGCTTTCGCAGAAGCTTAGAATGCCATACAATCAGGATAAGTGTGAGACTAGTGGGGACATATTTAAAGCAGCTTTTGATAACAAGTTACCACTCATGAACAATTTTAACTGCTTGAATCATCAATATCACTGTCAAATATAATGATCGAAGTTGGGTCAGCTTTTTGTAGTGAATCCATCATATCTGTACTGAGATTAATGAATGTCATTTTAATATCGTGTTTGTTAAACTCTTCAGCAAGTTCTATAAAGCTCTGAATTGCAGTGTAATCTAGATGAGATAGATTCGATGCATCTATAGTAATCGTTGATATATCTTGATCGCTTATCTTTTTGAAGATAAGATGCCTGATCTTATCAGTTACATATTCCGCAGCTGGGTAGTGTAGACCCGCTTCAGGGGTTATAATGACATTAGTTCCAGAATCACGATTTGTGATGGTTTTGTATGGGATTCCCGGGAAAGCATTTGGATATAACATGATTAGAAGCGAGACTGCAACTCCAGCGAGGATTCCGTAAGGAATTTGCCAGAAACACACAAGAAAAGTTGCAATTAATGGTAACAGGTCAATCTTCTTGACTTTCCATAAAGTAACTACAGTAGCATAATCAACCATATAAATAACAGCGGAGATAATTACGGCAGCGAGTGCAGCTTTGGGGATATAGTAGAATGAAGGCGTCAGGACCGCGAGGCTTAAAATCACAAGCGCTCCGGTGAAGATCCCACCAGCAGGGGTTTTAACATTACTTTGAGCATTGATAGCCGTTCGAGAAAAACTTCCAGTAACACAATATGATGATACAAATGAGCTGAGGATGTTAGAAGCACCGATAGCTATCATTTCTTGATTAGTGTCTAGTAAATAGTCGTTTTTTCTCGCAAAAGCTTTCCCAATAGCAATACTTTCAAGGAGTCCCATTAACGGAATCACAAACATGCCGTCACCTATTCTGCTTACAAGCTCCTTTGTCGTTACTGTAGTGTTTCCATTGACTTCATTGAATTCCGGTGGCTTAAAATCTGGCAACCCTTCATCAATTTTTCCAGTGAGGGTAACACAGTCTTCAACTTTACATGATGTGATATCTTGAGAGTGGATTGCATAAGCTACAAAGGCAGCTGATATGACCACAACAGCATTTCTTGCTGTGCTTATAAGCCAAACGAATTTTTTCGATATTTTTTGACAAATGATATCATCTGGGGACTCAGGCTCAATCCAATCTTTTATATAGCGGAGTAACACCAGGCATGCAATACAGCTGAGACCCATTACAACATCCCATACATTAGTATCTCCAAGGGCTTTCAGCATTTCGATAAGTTGCGGTATAAAACTACTAGAGGTTGTTTTCACTCCAAAAATATGCTTGAACTGGCCAAGAGCAATTGTTATTGCGGCCGCTGAAGTGAATCCACTGATTACAGGGGTAGAAATGAAACGCATAATGAATCCTAGACGTAATATCCCCATTGCAAATTGAACTACGCCTGCTAGAAAGGTCAGCAAAACAGCCTGAACAGGATCTCCATCACCATAAGTGTGCACTAACAATGACATGATTGCTGTTGGTCCAAGCGTTATATCTTTGCTCGTGCCAAATATACAATACACAAATCCACCCATGAAAGCACTATAGAGACCATATTGGACAGGTAAACCAGCTATTTGAGCATAAGCAAGTCCCTGTGGTATCACAGTCAATCCAACAGTTAAACCAGCAATGATATCACATTGCAACCAGTTTAATTTGTACTTTGGGAGCCAACTCAAAATCGGAAAGTAAGATTTTATGATGTCTAGGCATTTGCTCGTTGTACATTCAAAATCAACTTCTTGTCCAAAGATTGTTTTCTTCGACTTTTCAGGTTCCTCAATTTTTGGAGGTAAAAATGGTTGGGACTCTGAGTTATTGATGAATGGATCGGAGACATTTATATTAGTCATTTTCAATTATTATTAATGTTTAAATACCCTGGGTCAAATAAAAATTGTTAAATATTTTATAGCCTACATAGATAGACAAAATTGTTCAGACTTTATGGACACCCTATATATTAAATCTGACTACATAAAACTTGGCTTCAAGTCGTCAGCGCTTTCCAACCGAAGAGAAATTCATCCTAGCTTTCAGAAATCGAAAGTTGTTTACCATTCTTATACTATTTGTGAGAATTCAAATTAATGATACATCATAGAGACAAGTATCTAACATTAGACTATTGAGAGAGACTTTTTATAAGACACTTTTCAACACATTTCCTTCTGAACAAAGCCCAGCATAGCGGCTATTGGTAACAACAATATACTGATATCTGATATGAGAGGAGCTAATATTTCAGAAATGGTTGGAAATCTTTCAGGCTTTGCATTTCTTGCCTAACTTATTACACCCAAGGTGAGGTTGACACTAACATAAATATCACAAGGTTGCACAGTGACATTTTCGCATCATAATTACGGTACATCTTCCTGTTGAATCCGCTGATCTGTGTCAAGATGATTTCTGAACTAGTACCGTATCGTAATAATAAAAGCTCTCATGATATTCTTGACAAGTCTGAGCTAAGAACCACATAACTGCACTAATACAGTAATAGGCCCACTAATTCTTTTCTTTGCAAATTTATTTTCTTATGTTTGAATTACACCACAATTTTATCATTTTCAACGTACTCATCGACTCGTACGGTACCCAAATACCGGCACCGTACCAATGAATACCGATAAACATTGAAACAGTACCGGTACGGTAAAACTCACTCAACCTGTCAACGGAAAAGGAGCCTCGATGACCTTCGTCGGTCTTACAGACTGACCCACATGAAACAATATTATCTGAACAGTGGATTTCATATTCAATAATGTATATATTCAGGTATTTTTAAATTTTTAACGCATTCTGTGAAATAAAATCTTTTAGGCTAGTCTTTTTTTTTTTTTTTATGATTCCACAATGTGGTTTATGCAATATATAAAAATCATAAAATAATATATGAACAACAACAACAACAACAAGTATACAAAAATAACAAAGGCTAGTCTTTATTTCTGCCCCAATCCTACCCCTTTGCCGCAAAATTGTGCAAGAGCCGATCACGAGTTGTTGCAATAATGCAAAAACACCTTCACAAAAATCAGCTCAAGAATGACATCTAACGGTATGTTAAAATTAAACTTTCGTAGCGCAACACACGCCGTCATGTTGTTAGGTTCATTATCAGTTTCTGCATTGTCAGTAAGTGTCGACACCGGTACCGGTAGTGTATCGTTCTTTTTTAGTAATAATTTCAGTTTAGACAAAGTTCCTATCTTCGAAACTGCAAGAATAATGTTAATGCGGTGCTTGACGTTAGGCCCAGAGCTCGACCGATATATCGGGCGGATATTGCGTGTTTGCCGATATATATCGGCAAGCGCCGGGATGCGTGTTTCAACGGCTCTCGCCTCTGCATAACTGCTGGTTTACCAAAATTTCTATCGCTTCCATTTTGCATTGAAAAGATGTCTCTCCCAATTCCCGTTGGTACCGGTACCGGTACATGATTAGCCATTTCATGCATTGTCATAACTGAGCAGTTATCATCCGGTGTAACAATTTCGAGAGAGAAAGCACAATGAGAAAAAGGCAAATTTAGTATCAATAGAAAACGGTGGTTCTATAAATAGAATCGATTTGAAGCTGGTGGGTTAGTAACCACAGAAACATGGTACAGGTAGCTCAAAGCAATAATGTCATCAAAGTAGCTCCCGAATTTGGGACCTTCCCAAATTAAATTTTGAATTTCTGGGGTTAACAGTTTCATCAATATGGATAGTTGTTTATCATTTTCATGAGAATTACACAAAAAAACCTTAATCCATTATAATTAACTAAATAAGGTATTGAGAGTCTCTAGAAACATAGTTATTAAAAATTTTCACATGTAACTGCACATATGCTATTACAATATCGAAGTCTTTTATCATTATCACGATTCACTTTAGAATATATCAATTTATAATTTTTCAATACCCCTAACACATGCCCACGGCCACAGTTATATTTAAAATCGTCAGATTAAAGGCTAGACTGATATTGAAGTCGCAGGAAAAGTTACAGAATAACATTTGTTCAAGCATTAACTGGAGTTAGTTAAATAAAAGTCTTACTGCAATGATACTAAATATCAAAATGAAACTACAGACTTACGAGGTACATAATAAGAGCCCATATTGTGGCACAAAATATGATTAATATCGGCATCTGCGTCGAAAAGTGATATCAGTCGAGCTCTGCCCAGGAGGCCTAGTGGTTCCAGCGTTTCGAAACTAAAGTACGGTACCGGTTCTGTGTACCATCATTGCCAGATTGCAATTAATACAGTACCGTTTTCGTAATAAGTTCCAGTCATTGATGGTACAGTAGGACAGTACGGCACACTATACAAATCGGGTGACATTGTCTCGTTTCAGAGAAACCCATTTTACAGATGATCAGACACCCCCTTTGGGAGACGTCTGGACGTTGTTGTCCCTCAATATCGGTAATAATACAGTATAATGAAGTTGCACAAAATACTACAAAAAAGCGCAATCTAGTAACGTCATCATTGAAGTCCTTGTGGAAAAATAATCTGATTTACCGAAAGAAAAAAAAATTTACCGTAGCATTCGAGAGTTTTTAGCAAAAAACGGAAATTTTGGTCAAGTGACGCCCGCGATTAATTTAGATTATTATTGAAACAAGCATGGCGCGATATGAAGCATCTGACGTGGTCCCAGACGCCCCTCGTTTGTGAGACACATGGAGTGTTTATTTTATTGAGCCAAATGGAGGGAAATTTATGGAATTTGGATAGTGTGCTGTACTGTAGGGCTGCCCTGGCGCAAGGATTCAGTAAAATGGACATGTTGTGTGTAATATCAGGTAGCCGACTCATGAGGTTTTTATATTTAAAAGGTATTGCCCGATTTTGTATTATTGTTGTGTATGTCTTTTTTTGGGGTGTTCTTTGACTCTTTTTGCCACATTCTCAAAAATTGCAATTCCCGTTGAGCAGTCATCGTCATGGTCCAAGCTTATCGGTTCTGTTTACTCCTGTATTGCTAGTCGCACAAGGTTATGTTCTTGGGCCAACTTTCTTTTCAATGTTCAAGAATTATACCGTATGTGACCAAAATAAAATTGATTGATTGGTTATATCATGGCTATTGGGTCATCGATATTGGAGTCTGAAACAAAGTGACGTTTTCAAACCTTATTCACCCCATTGATTCGATCATAAATTTTTCTCGACTACAAAGTCTTGCTTAGAAGGTCAGTCAAGTCAATGTGATAGCAACTCGCTTAGTATTTGTAATGTAGTTTTCTGGTTGATGGATAATGATAATATTTTCTAGATTAAATTACAGGCCAATTATTCATTCACTGGAAATGGATCGAATTAATTTTTTTGATCTCACATTTGATGATGAATTTGCAAAACCGGCATTCATGCCAGAAATTAAAGAAGAAATTATTGAAGACGGTCTGTCATTTTTCAATGAAAATCAAACTGAAGTTACCAATATCTTTGAGAAAATCAATTCTCTTTGTAATCTGGAGGCTGACGACTCTTTTATATCCGAAAATAGAGATTTATTTGATGAACAAAGAATTTGTTTGGAAAATAACTATATCGAAGAGCTTTTGTTGGGTAATAAAAGAAAGAAAAAACGTCGAAAGATACCCCGTAAATGTGAAGTTTGTGGCAAGATTTTGACAGATAGAAGTACATACTGGAAGCACAAGCAGGTTCATTTATCAGATAAAGCTTATAAATGTGAGTTTTGTCCGAGAACATTTAGTGGCAAGGAAAGTTTAATTGTGCATCGGTTTGAACATACTGGACAATATGCTTATAAATGCTCCAAGTGCGGTAAACAGTTCCGAAGTCGCTGGGGGCTGACTCTACATATTCGAACCCATACTGGGTATAAGCCGCATGGTTGTCACGTATGTGGGATGAGATTTTCTAATACTGGAGATATGGGGAAACACTTGAAGCGACATTTTGCTGTAAAGTCGTACAAATGTGAAAGTTGTGGGAAGGAATTTGTTTCTTCGAAAGAGCTCAAAATACACTTTAATAGAGTTCACTCAAATGAGAGGCTCCATAAATGTGACAAGTGTGATAAATCTTTCAAAACTAGAGCGGATATGTTACGACATGAAAAGCATCATCTTGCTTTGAGAAGCTTTTCATGCCCAATCTGTCAATTTACCTGTTCAATTAAACATAATTTGGAAGCGCATTTCAAAGTACACTCGAGCGAGAAGTCTTTTTTCTGTGAGGTCTGTGGCAAGCAATTCAAACGTGCAGGAGATGTTAAAAAGCATATGGCAACTCATTCTAATAAAAGACCATATCAGTGTAAATTCTGCGATAAAACCTACAAAGCTGCTAAACATTTGAGTGTTCATGTCAATCGAGTACACACCGGTACCAGGGACATTGAATGCGTGCAATGCAAAAAGAAATTTTTCGATACTGCATCGCTTAAAAATCATATTAAGATACATATTGGCAAAAAGCGATTTTCATGTGAAGTATGCAACAAACGTTTCCTAGTGAAACATAATTTAATAACACATGAACGAGTGCACACTGGAGAAAAACCATTCAAATGTAGAATTTGTGGACAACGTTTCACGCAAATGCCGAATAGGGCACGTCATGAAGAAAGACATATATTGAAAAATACAGGCTTAAAATCTTTTTCATGCAAAAAATGTGATAGGTCATTTTTAACTAAAGACTATCTAAATCATCATTCTGTGATTCACTCTACTGAAAAACCCTTTTCATGTGATTTTTGTGGAAAATTGTTTCATTTCAAGACTAACTTGGAAATTCATCTTAGAGTTCACACAGGAGAAAAACCGTACAAATGTGAAGCATGCGGGAAGTCATTTTCTCAGCACAGCTCTTGGAAACATCATGTCAAAGAAAATGTGTGTGCAAAAGATGTGCATATGTAAGCAAAATTTAAGTCTTTCAATGAATTTTTTTAACACAAAGTGGACTGATGGATCGTTATGGCTAGAAGCAGTGATGGGATTCAAATTTTTCGTCGGCCTGTTCCTTCACAAAAGTCATATTTTTCAGCCGGTTCTGTTTCAAACAAAACATTGACAGTAACCAGTAATGCTAACCGGTTCGCTGATCTCATAAAATTCTGAGTTCTATAGAACCGGTTACGACCCGGCTGAATCCCACCACTGGCTAGAAAGCTATTACAAAAATTATTATTTATTACGGCTATTATTTCAAAAAATTTTTGGGCTCTTGTGGAATTTTTCTCAATTTTAAATTTTTGTTGAGATGACATTGTCAAAATTGAAAAATTCGCACTGTGCTGTGGTTTCGTTATCACATCTAAGCAATTTTGTTGTCTAACCACTGTTACTGTAAGATTTGATGCTGCCTTGTTATTGAACATCGTGTCCAAATATTTGAGCATTGATCTCTTATTTATATAATTTTCTTTGATATGTTCAGTTTGGTTCTTTCAATGGTGTTTTCTCATTCTTCCTCTTAATATGTTCCCAATTGATGAAATGAAGTGAGTAATGCTGTAGAGTCAGAAAAGTTTGTAGCGTACAGGAGCCATTAGAAAACGATTCTGTATTTCGGACTCAGGGATGGTCATTTCCGAATACTAAACTATTCCGAGTACATTCTAAAATAATGTTTTCGAATCTGGAATTCCGAACACATTCTAAAATCGAAAATAACACATTTTTGTTTTAGTTTATTAAAACCCAGTAAATTAGGAAATAAGCTTCAATAGAAATATCAGAATAAAGCCACAAACCAACAGTATATGTACACAAAGTAATTGATAGTTTATAGCTATCAATAAAAAATAATAGCAACTTGTGACACTGGCAGTTTATTAAAATTATTCACTTTGTACAAATGATCATATGAAAAGATAGCCAAGAAGTTGTCTGACGCTTTCTATCATTGGTACCATGATATTACGATAATAGTCAAGTCTATTGACAAAAATACTACTTGTATTCAGATAATTGTGTATATTTTCTGAGAGTAATAAAATATATTGGCAATACAGGCAACTGAAACAAGCAACAACAATCGAAAATCCATTATGCCTTTAAAATGTTTAAGCCTAGAATATTCTACTACTTACCAGTATATTTGTATAATAATTTATGTGAACCATATTATTATTAGGTGTAGCATATTGTTGTGTCTGAAATTAGAAATAAATAAGTGGAGGATAGATGACCACCACTGCCAGCCGCGCAGCCAGGATTTTCGAAATCGGATATTTCCATTGCCGCCTGTAACACCCACCGCGATTCCGCGCTCGTTGAAAGAGCCGTCTTTTCAGCGTATAATGATCATCCTGTTACGTAAAATATTCAATCCATGACAACTACGAGATTCTAAAATATCTTTATATAATAATTTAATGTGTCCAACGTAACTCGCGGTTTCTTCTTCTTACGTCAAAAAAAACATTACTATTCGGTCCACGGCGATCTGTGACCTAAACGTACGAGATAAACTGCCTGATGTATTTAATTTTAATACATATTTTTGCAATCTTGCCAACTCGTTATCGCCCTTAGAAAAATCTCAGATAATGAAAATTCTGTTAAGTGTAGAGTATGATTCATTTCATACAATGAATATACATATAAAGTTTAGCAGTAAATTAAAAATACATATTCATCGCCGCGATTATGCCACCTGTTAAAAGAGTCGACTTTTACAACAAATAATATACCAACGAATATATATTTTTCTGTTGTGCAAAGTGATGAATTCGTGACCGACACGGGCATATTTAAAATGTCTTGCTTTATTAATTTAATTGTCTTCAATTTAACCTGCGGTTGCGTCGACAAAATAAAATCCTCACCACTTTTATATACCATTGCAATCCGCGGTCATAAAAATAAGTACGTGTGGTAAACTGCCCGATTAAATATTGTTTTGATCCGTATTTTGCGAATTCGGCAAATATTTAGATGTAGTTGTTAACAGTGACTCCGCTTAATCGAAATGCTGCCATTCTGATTATTTTCAGATAAAACCGTTCGAAAAATCCATAAATCTGCTGTAACATATCAGAGTAAACATTATTTCATCACAATAAAATTGATTGAATATACTTAGATTAATTATATACATCCTCACAACCCGGGATTGTATAATGTTAATGCGAAAATATTCGACAGCAATTTAAAGTAACGGATAATCAGGCAAATCCCGCCATCAATTTGTGACGACATGTTTCTAAACGCCGACCAAACATAATGTGTGCCATAGGCACACGAAATTTCACGGTTTTCACTGCCTAGAAAAGCGTTTTTTTCTTAATTTTCGCGGGCCCCAATAAAACCTATATTATTTACGTTTTATTTTCGGTATTTTAAATTGCCGCTTTTTAATCAAAAAGTTGCGTTGTCTTTAGAAACTCGCCGCCGATGAACGTATTCACCGGATTCACAATTTCGTGCGAGTAGGCTACATGTTATATAACATGTTACGCTGATGAGTGATGAAAACAATCACGCGCAAGTTTCTATCGAGAATGTTTTCATTCAACGAAAATGTCTTGAAAGCGGCGTTGAAAATGTCATTAATTGCATTAGATGCATGGTCAAGAAAAATTAGAACCCCTCACACACATAAACCAAAACATAAAACACGGTTTGCATTTGCAACATCATTTTATTTGGTTTAAAATAAGAATAAGTAAAAAATGTACTTCTGATGTGCTATAATTATAAATATGATAAAAAAAATATACAAATTATGGTAGAAGCAACGAATCTGCTGAAAAAATGATTACAATTGTATATATATATATAATACAATACAATTTTATCGTGTACAGTTAAGGCTGGCGGATAGGAAAAGTGTTTCCCTCATATAAATTAAAAACACCAAATAAAGTTTTTGATAAAACTCGAGAGTAAATTTGAAACAAAGTAAAATTAAAACCCTTTTAGAGGGAAGGTTTGTTTTGTTTAGTCCACCAGAGAAAATTAACACAACAAAATACAATTCACAGCAAAAATAAATATACTTATATATACAGAGTGGGTGACAACAATGGGATCGATAAGAGTCAATTACAACAATAACAACAACAACAAAAACAACAATAAATTTTCATGGGGAAAATAATTTAGTTACACGTAAGCGATAGGCAATCATTCATAAGCCGTGAAGGTAAATTAAATTTGAGACAAATTAAGTTCTCGATCAATTATGGTATTATTCTAGGTTATATGAATATATATTTAAGTAATTAAAAGAATAATTGCATACAATAATGTGACATTAGTTAGTTCCATTTAAGGAATACAAAACATCATTATAAGAAAATGGTGATCAAATCAGCGTATATATGGAGGCCCTAAAAAGACAAATTAAAACAAAAATACTAACATCTGGCAAAACCATTTAATGGTTTACCTCATACGTAAAATCGAAATGGTCACGCTGCTCCAGTGCGGTGCATCCCAAAATAGGACTTGCTATAAGCGTTGTGTGAGGCTAGCTCTACGTTTTCTGGTACTTTGTATCGCAAAAATACTCTATTTGACTTTGCAAGCCGGAATAAACCTTCCTGGTATAAAGTGACTAGCCCGCCCTCTAGTGCACAATTCAGATGCTGGTCCTCGCTTAGTATACTGTAATACTTGGAATCGTCCTTGTAGTTTTGGACTCCTACTTCCATATGCACCCTGCAAAAAAAAAACCATCTCTTGAAAACGGGTAACTTATTATGACATTACTCAATGGGATAAAAATCGTTTTAATTCCCCACTGTTCATCGTACATAATTATCAATTTATTCAACCTTTCCCTAGTTTGGTCTCCAAGATACTATGATTTTACATCAATTTTTGGTACTCCTGTAGTATGTGTACCAGGTTGTGGTGAGGACATCATTTTTTTCGATTTTCTTTATTTTAGTTTTATTACGAGTTCATGGACAGTCTGTGTTAGCCAGGTGAATATACCCCCTGCCCATAGGCTTATCTCCCTTTACATAACTTGATGTAAAGTAGACGAACAAAATTAGTTACCTCCATATTGGTACACATACTTACGAAGCGCGTCATTTTTTTATAAAAAAAATCAAATCCTGCAAAAATAGCAAATTTTGTCGCGTCAAGACATGTATTGTGTATTGACCACGAATGTCGACAAGTTTAAAAATCGAGCTGAAATACACCAATTACTTTTTTATTGTGGCGTGGCACGTTCTCCTCGTTCGAGAAATCATGCTAAGCATCTTTGATTGCCCTGTGCCAATTTGCAGGATCGAATCCCGTTTTGGAATATTTATGTGCAAAAGGATTGCTGAACTCCTTGTTCACGTGAGCCCTAACGGCTTCCCTACCATCGAGTACATGCATTTGATACAAACAACTGACTACTTAATCCCATACCGGACATGGATTGGTGGCAGGACGAGAGGCCGTGGTATGCCGACTTATCGGTTTTTCTAACGCCTAGCTTGATGCGCCAACAGACGGGTCAAATAAATAATATTCGAAGTAACATACCTTTTTCTTTTCTTGTCTCCCTCCGTACACACAAAAGTAATTTTTGCGTACACATGGTAGAGACCAGATTCCTGCAAAACTGCAAATCCGTCCTCATATGACCCGCTGGGTCCCGTTGACACCGAGAAAGTCGATCTATGTCGTTCGTAGTTGGTTATTCTAGTCCAATGGGTTGCGTTTGCTGGAAAAGAACTATATTTGAACACAATAATCTAAAAACATAATCCGCTTATCCGCAATCCTATAAATCTCGCTGCCCGATACCAGCCTCGGTCCCAGCATACAGCTTATATTCTCAAATTAAAAATGTGTACTCAATTTATTTTTAATTTTGTATGTCGTTTTTTATTGGATGGAAAATATACACTTGAATAGTACTTTTCGAAATAGGCCATTTTAAGTGCTCTACCGTAGGTGAGTATTACCCTCAAATTTCGCCTACCCATGAGTAGTTTCAAGTCCACCGAGTCAAATTTACTTGTTCAATATGTGCCTCAGAGCATCTGATTGAAGATTTTAAATTCGGATCCCATGTCCACCATTTCATTTAGGGGGTAATTAAATCAGACAGACAATGCCGAAATAAAAAATTGTGGGCT